CTTTATAGTCCCCCCCTGAAATTTTATAATGATCTTCTGCCAGATTTCCTGCCGTTTTTAAAACTAACTGGTTTTCAGTTTCAGTCAAGTGATCTAACAATAACTGTATATCGTTCCAGTCAGGGTTGTGTTGCTTTATAATAAATTGAAAATATCGAGTTGCACCTGCAGGGTCATTTCAATAATTCTTAGCAACCTTTTGCCATGCCTCCAGGTCAGCGGTGGAAAACGGTACTTTTATTAACACAGTTCCACCGTTAAGTCCCACCGCTTCCCTAAGAGGTGCTTGTAGAATTGTTGGAGCATCTTTGCTCCATGTCCGGGAGGACACTGGGCTATTTGGGGGAGTGGGTTGTTCGTCCGAGTCCTCGTCTCATTCCTGGGGTCGAGGTGGAGGTCTGAGCAAATCTTCCGAACTTTGCTCTATGACCCTCCGAGTTTTATCAGTTCTTGTGCATCTTTGTCCAATGCTGCATGCTGAGCAACACCTCCTTAGTCCCCCCTTTACCTTTCCTTTGTAATCTTTTCCAGAGCGAGCACTAAGGGATCTTGTGGTGGAATAAATCCACAGTCCCTCTGCCACTCCGGGTGATTTCGGAGGGTAAAGAACATATCTGCATAAGACACTTCATCCCACTTCCATCCTCAAAAATAACATTAATTGTAAAAGCATGTTATAATCTAGGGTCCCATTAAATGGCCATTTAGCCTCTTCTTCCAACTTGTACAATGGCCACCATTGGTTACAATATTTAATAAGGGTTTTCTTGCTTTCTGTACTCCCTGTCCCTACAATGTCTTTCCAATGTGCTAGTATGCAGCCTAATGGGCTTTTCTTTAAGAATCCTCCCTGACTATTTCCCATTATTGTTTCTCTTTACAAAATCCTTCCCTTCCACTTATAACGATTTTCACACTGTCTCCTAACTTTTCTCAATCCTCCTTTATTTCCCAACACACAAATACACAGACCTAATAATTATCGCCTCCTGTCTTCCGAGCATTGCGTGTTCTTGTGAGCCCTCTCCTGGACACGTTAAACACTTCGACTTTCTCTTATTAGATGCACAATACCACCTATGCCCACAACATACACATTTTACTATACCCACGCCTGACGGAAGTTTTTCCCTGTAATTACTGGGGACAGAGGCGCAAGGGAAATAGGACAGGATCGGCTGGCTGCTCCCAATCTAGTGCAGCTAGCTGTTCAAAGGCGGTTACATACAATTTTTCTTAACAAATATAAACTATTTTCGCGCTCCAACCTCTCATTCCTTTCACACAAGTAATCGCTGGGTTCTAATCCAAACCAATGGAGAAGGGATTCACTCCTCTGTCTCCGATTTATGCAAATATCAATGCTTTTTACAATATATACAAATACGTAAATACAGTTCACTAATTAGACAAACTCTGAAGTTTTCAAACAGAATTCAAAAGGGGAACAAAAAGAAGAGAACAAAAGAGAAAGAAAAAACCTACAATTTCAACCAGCCCGAGGTGGACGGTGACACTCCCATGAACCCCAACAACCACTCATCCAGTTTGCTGAGGTGGTCTCCGACACTCCCATGGACCCCAGGTCTTATTACCCCTTTAATTAATTCCGTTCCCTGTGCGCACCACTTTATTTAATCCAATTCCTTACTTGAGTTTTAAAGTTGTGTGCCAGGCGTCCCTGCGCGTCTTACCAACAACTCATATACAATTTTTAAACATACCTTTCCGTAGTCCAGGCGGTCCTTGTCTGCTCCTGTAGCGCACAGCTGGGAGTGGAGATCCTCCGAGAAAAGGCTCGGGGTGCACCTAGGACAGCCACCCTTCAGCAGTCCCGGCAGCCGAGCGGAGAAGGTCCCACCTGGGGTGCCAAACTGATTTACGGATGAAAGACTTCCCAACTAAGGGTTGTAAAGCAGGTATGTTTATTCGGCGCCGGGCACATGGGGGATGCTCCGCCACAACAAGCCTGTGCCCCCCTGCCGCTCCCGCCTTGCTTATATGTTACAGAGTGTTGCATATCCATGAGACATCTATACATATTCATAACCCATCCCCGCCTGCCCTCGCTTCTGATTATAATTAGGTCTCCTCCTCCTTGCAGCTGCACAGTGAGTTCCTTTGGTCCTGGGCAGGGGTCGTGAAGGGCTGGGCAGGGGTCGTGGGAGGAAGTATCTCCTCTTCCTCACTGCTGAACTTTTCATCCTGACGTCCTGCGCAGTCTCTGTCGCCTCCTGGACCCGGGCACAACCGCAGAGCTGGCTTGTGCTGGTGGTGGGGTGATCTTTTGCTGACACACACTTACTTAAGGGAGAAGGGGGGGGGGCTTTGTTCTGAACAGGAGATAGTGGTAGAGCAATACAAACAATATATCTTATCTCGTGCAAGCATAATACCAAATTTGGTTAATATCCCATTTCAGTATGCTGTGTGCCTTGAACACTCTAACAATCGTTATGGACTCTGAATTAACACAACAGGTACTGGTTATGGATCTTGACTTGAAACACTAGGAACCAGAAGAAACTGGTTTGGTTGGGAAGATCGGCCAAGGGAGAGGTGAGCATTAACCAAAGATGGAGTGAGCAGGCACAGGGATGGAGTTCAATCAGCCGACACAGTGATGAAGATTATTGACAAGCACCAGAGGACCCCCGTCCAGTATAACCACACACGCGTTAGGGACATTTGCATACGATAATAATTCCCAGGAAATAACATGAATATGCTGATCATTGCCCTCCTCCCATTCTATTTAAATCAATCAGTAAAGATGACCAATGATTTCTGTAAAATAGGAATATAGGTAAGGTGAGGTAACTGAAAGCCAATCATTATTAAGGTCAACTCCAACTTTAGGAATTTTGTTGATCTTGTGTAACCATGACTTTGCTGAAAAAGTGTATAAATATGTTGTGCTTTGTACCTGTCGGCGAACACGTCTTTGGCGGAGTTACCCCCCGTGTTCCCCAGCGCTGGAATAAAGAAGTGCCTGCTTATCTGCTGGGTGTAGATAAATTCTATTTGCGATTGCGACCGCTAACAGGGGCTGGGGACTGAGCTCACAGAGTCACGCTCCGGCGGGCGTGGTGGCCGGGGGTGCCGAGGACACGCCGCCTGCCCCGGCCGGCCTTGCAGCTGGCAGAAAAGCGGGGGCCCCTCAGCGCTGCGGCAGAGACAGCGGGGGGGTCCCTCGCAGTTCTCTCCTGCCCCGCTTCCCCAGCCTCAGCACAAAGTGCCAGGCTCCCTCCTCCTTGGAGATGGGGGGCCACGGGGTCCCTTCTGCAGCAATTTGGGGTGTGCAGGAGTCTCTCCTGCGAGGAGCGGGGGGGGAAGGTGTCCCTGCCACCCATCCTGCAAGGTGCTGGGGGGTGGGAAGTCCCCGGGATCCCTCCAGCAAGGTGCTGCGTGAGGGGGGGGGGAAATCCCCGGGACCCTCCTGCAAGGAATTGGGGGTGTCCCCGGCAGCCCTCCTGCAAAAAGCCGTGGGGCGGGAGCCTCCTGCAAGGGACGAGGGGGTCCCCCTCCTGCAATGGGCTGGGTGGGGGGTGGGGGCCTGGGGGTCCCCTCCCGCAAGGAGCGGGGCGGGGGGCGCCAGGGCTTCTCTCCTGCCAGGAGCCGGCCCCCCACCAGCAGGCTGGATGCCGGGGGGTCCCCGGCCGGGGTCCCCGTGCCCCCGCCGGCACTCACTGTCGGAAGAGCCGCTCCACGGCGCGGAGCCGCCGCCGGGAAAACCCGCGGAACCCCCCGGCGGGGCTGACGCCTCGGCGGCCGCCTCCGGGCGAGCCCTCGCCCCCCCGGACGCCCCCGCCGCCGGGCTGCCCGGCCCCGGCCCCGACCCCGGCCCCGGCCCCGGCCCCGGCCCCGCTCCCCGGCCCCGGCCCCGCTCCCCGGCCCCGCTCCCCGGCCCCGGCCCCGCTCCCCGGCTCCGCTCCCCGGCCCCGGCCCCGCTCCCCGGTCCCGGTTCCGCTCCCCGACCCCGGCCCCGGCCCCGCTCCCCGGCCCCGGCCCCGGCTCCGCTCCCCGGCTCCGCTTCCCGGCTCCGCTCCCCGGCCCCGACCCCGGTCCCGGCTCCGCTCCCCGGCCCCGCCGGCTCCTCCGCCGCCGCCACGGAGCCCGGGATGGCGGCGCCGTCCCGCTCCGCCCCGCTCCGCCCCGCCGGGGCCGGGCTGCAGCCCCCTCCTCCCCGGCCGGGGCTCGTCCCCCGGGGGGGCTGCCGGGCACCGAGCCGGGGGGGATCCGGCTGCCACCGCAGCAGCCCCCTCACCGCCTCCCCCGCCGGCTGCGGGGCGGGGGGGGGGGTCGTCCCCGCGGGGCTCTCCCAGGGCTGCGGGTGCGATCCCTCAGTGTTATCGGTAGATTAAGGCCAATCACATCCAAACGTGGATTAATGAATCTTTATTAAGGTGAGAGAGCAAATGCAGCGCTGGGGTGGCCGAGGAGTCGCAGCTCCATCAAGGCTCACCAAATTGTTTAAGTTTCAAACCCCCTTTTATCCACCCAGCTGCCGGTTTCGGCACCTTCGGCACGCCTCCTGTTTTCTTCTCCAATCTTATCTTCTTTCTTCTCCTCCCTCCAGCCTCCCGTCGCGCTTGCACAGTGCTCCCTGGTGGTCGTGGGCAGGGGTCTGCAGATGAAGGCTCGTAGTCTTCTTCACGGTGTTCGCTAGCTGACCCTTACTGCTGCCCAAACTCAGTTCTGTGGTCACTTACACCTTGTCCTTCAAGTCTGGGCCAATTTGCAGCTCCTTTGTCTTTTATGGCTCAGTGGTTTCAGTTCCTCTCTTATCTCAAGGACAAGGGATACCAGAGATGGCCCCATTCTGTTCTTTCTCATCCCATTGCAAAGGAGTTACCGCCCTTTGATGTGGACCATCTGGTGAGCATCCCAAGGAGGGGGGGGGCTGTTGGGTTGGTGTTTCCTCAGATCAATTCCCCCCTTTTCTTTTCCCAGTAGTAAAGTCTTTTACGTTTCTTAAAATATGGATCATTGTACTAATAATAGCTTTAGCCTAAGAAGTAATTGTTTAATTACTTTTAGCGAAAGCAAAATTCTTCTATTATTTATCACATCGGGATTGAGGGAGCTTCTCGAGTGGCTCCTGCAGCCCCAGGCGCACCCGCAGATACCTAAGTGAGAAACAAGCCCACGTAGATTAAAAAAAAAAGTTTTATTGGGGACAAAGCCAGTGCAGCAAAGAATACAGCGCTGGGCGCAATCTGCCCCAACAGGGGCTTCTTTTTCTAGAGCAACACGAAGATTTCATGGGTTGAGCGAAAATGGCAGCTTTTCTCCTCTTTGCACCTGCGCAGCTCCTTTTTCGTGGTGTCTCCGAGGCTGTCTCTCTCTCTCTCAGTACTTTTCCACCACCCTCTGGCGGGGCTGGGAGGGGAGGAGGGCGCAGTCCAGGTTCCTCTTCATCAGGAGTTCTTGGCTCAGCCCTTCTCTGCTGGCTTCCATTCCTCCCCAGCCCCCCCATCCAAGTTCCCCTTTACGTGATACCCAACCACGGACCACCCCCCATCCTCTCGCTTGCCCAACTCCCCACAGTGCCCAACCATATGCCTAACTTGGCATCAAAAAAGGCTTGCCTAACTGTTATAATTTTAGCAACACTGATTTAATAACACCTTTAGCCTAACTCAAGAAAAGTAATTGTTTAATTACTTTTAGCGAAAGCAAAATTCTTCTGTTACTTACCACAATCCGCCCCTTTTCTTTTCAATACCATATTTTGCTTGAGCTTAGTAACACCTAGTCTTACTCTTTTCTTCATTTTTCATTCTTTCGGTTTCTTCTACTTTGAGCCAGGCTCTTTGTAGTGAGTTTTTAGTCGTATCTTTTGTCTTTAATATCAGAACTTTGTGGGCACCAGCCGATGCAGCCATTTCAGGGTTTACCGGCATAGCTGCTATTTGCATCCCCCCAGAAACATGAGATATCAGCCGTATAAAGCAGGGTGTTAAACATGGTAAAACCAGCAAGCCTGCGATAGCACAAAGGAAGAAAAATCCAATCTGTTTCCTCCAGGAAGGTCCTGATAGATCATCCCACCACTTTGAGTCTAACATTGAATTCCATTTTTGTACCGGGACATGGGCCAATTTGCGAATATTTGTCGCTATTTCTAAGACTGCTTCCTCATTGTCATTGAATTATTCCCAATGCACAGCTGCCCTCCCAGTCGCCAGGGAGTTTTGGATATGCCTGTTGCCCGCATATCCAAAATAGACCATCAGGTGCTTTCCATAACCACTCAGGGGTGGCTGCTATATTTTCCCCAAATTTAGTTATTTCCTCAATTCCAGAAAGTGGGTTTTGGTAACTTTCTGTGACGAGACATTGATATAATTTATATTCAGGGTTTAACGTACAGTAATCTGAACCCGCTTTGGATGCCCAGTACTTTTTAGGAGATTGGGGTTCCCACCATTGGTGGGTGGTATTGGTTACGAGAGTCCGTATACAAAGGATTCTGCCCACTGAATTTTTGAAGGAATTTCCGTGGCGTTCTAGGCATTCCTGTCCTGGCATCACTGAGTTAAGTATCCATCCCTCAGGCCTTACAATTTTGCTAGTAACTGTACCGTTCCACCGGACTGTATCAAAGGCACTCAGGCTAGTCCCTTTCCATTGCCAGTCTTCCGTGGTTAGGGGCCCCCCACAAACCCAACGATTAGATACATTCAACCCTTTGCCTATTTCTGTGGCTAGGTTTACAGACAAATTTTGTCCCAGAGTGGGGAATCAGCTCATCTTCTAGGTCTCTTATTAGGGCATCATCAAGTTCTGTTGTAGGTCTTTTCGGCCGTTGTGGTACTGGCTGTTTTACTTCTGTCACATCTTTTACCTGGATTTTCTTCTCCCCACTAAAAATATCTCCATCCACCCTTCTGTCTTTGGGAAAGCAAAGCCATGCTGGTGTTGGACATAAAAATCCAGGATTTGAGCCTAAATTTTTTGTTACCCAATACTGGTTATTGGGACCGTAACATGTTTCCATTTGGCTTTGGTTGTAACACTTGTCTTTGACATGTGCAGCGCAGAGCTGAATTAGAGCACTAATGCGAAAGCTTAAAGGATTTCCCATAATTGAGCAAAGCTGGCAGAAGGGAGAGAGCCTGGTGGGGGGTACTTGCAGCCCACCTCCCTCCCCAGCTCAGGCCACCCTCTCCCCAACCCCGCTGGTCTAAATCCAGCCATAGCCCCCACCCTTGGACTGTGTGACGTGGGGAATTAAAAACTCTTCCAAGGCCTCATCCTGCCCAGCCCAGAGCCCCAGGTTGCCCTCATCACCTTCTCCAAAATGCCCTTGATTTATGCAATAGCGCAAGCAGCATCTCCACGTGTGAATTTCCACCTCCCCCGTGTCACCCCCTGCCCTCCCGCTGCAGGGGCCCTGCCTGCCCTCCACCCCCGCTGCGGGGCACCACGGGGCCAGGGGAGCAGGACCAGGCACATCCAGCTCCCAAAGCCCAAAGGATGCTTGGAGCAGAGGAGCTGCTGAGCCAGCACCCGTCACTGGGCTGGGGTGGCTGCCAGCACCCTGCACCCCAGCAAATACACAGACTTACCTTTGCATTACCCCCGCCTCGGTGCTGCCACACACCAGCTCCGAGAACGTTGATGGTTTAAAACTGGCAACGTCCCGTGTCTCCTTACTGGTGTGGCAGCGTGGCAGGCTCACCCCACAGGGTGAGATGGCCGATGGCTTTGATTCGGGCTTGTGTTTCTGCGGGGGAAAACAAACAGTATTTTCCTTCATGAGGCGTTTTCCAGAAACTTTGCAAAGTAACCGCGAGCACCTTTGCTTTGGCATGGACACGCTCGCCCCAAACCACCAGCCAGTGCCCCTTGGCTGCAAAGGCCTCCGCCAACTGCCGTGGTGCGTGCAGGACATACAGAAGCTGCAGCAGAAACACTGCCACGGAGATCAGCTGTTACAGCAGCAAAAAGCATTAAAGCAGAGGCTGCCTTGATTACACACACCGCGCTTTGAGCACACGGTGGCTGCGGAGGGGAGGAAGGCAGCAGCTCCCTCGGGAAGGCACAGATAACATTTACGAGCAGATAATTCACCTGCAGCATGGCGCAAAGCAGAAATATCTCTGCCAAGCTCAGCTGCAGCTGTGAAGAGATAAAGGGCGCAGCAGCATCGCACCGCGGCCTCCTGCCCGGCTGCGCTGCTCCCCGCTGCGGCAGCCAGCACGGGTGTCGCAGTGCTGTCGCCCCAGGGCTGGATTCACACTTTTGGCTCCAGGGCAAGGGCAGGGGGAGCAGCCAGGGAGAGGACAGAGCGCACGGCTGCTGAACAGCCCGGCAGAGCCAGCCTGGAACAAGCAAAGCGAGGAGGAAAGGGCAAAGGCATTTGCAGCAAACATCTTCCAGCTGAGCCAAGCCCGGCGAAGACCCCATCTTGCCGGGCACATGCTCCTCCAAGCCCATCCCCGTGGCCTTCAGGCTGCAGCTCTTTCAGTCTCGGTGCAGGTCCCCCTGCCCCCAGACACCCCAGAGGCATTCCCAGGGATCCTTTTTTTGGGGGGCTGTGCTGGCATTTTGGAGATGTACTTGAGGCAGGGTCCCACCCGGGCTGGAAGGGGCAACACTGGTCCATCTTCTGCAGGAACAGCTCGGAGCACAGGCGAGAGGGTCTGGGCTGTTCCTTATGCTGCCCTGTGCTCTGGCGTGACTCCTCCTGGGGAGGGTTAACTGGCTGCTTGCGTTGGATATCTCAGATCCACAACTCATCAGGGATTAGCCAAACATTTCTCCATTCTCCTTTTCCTCATAATAAATAGATCACTTTGATCTATTTATCTATCTGCACTAAGTCCAGATTGGATAAAACCTGGCATCTGAATATGGAGCAAGCCTTAAATAGATTTTTTTTTCCCCCCCCCCATGTTTCCCACTGAAGCTTCAACAGCTGAAGAGCTAAATGGAGATTTTTTTATTAAACTTGGCTTTCCTGCACAAACGTGCCCCAGTGGAGAGGAAGATAGATAAGGCTAGGTGCTGCAATATTTCCAAATGACACATGCCGTAAATACAGGATCATGTGTAGATTGCTCTGATCCTTTAATCCAACTTCATCTGTAAAGCGGCTTGCAGCAGCTCCTCTTGCGGCTTCTGTGAACGGGCCCCAGGTGAAATCCCACATCCCAGGACCACGGATGCTATTTGGCCTTGAAACACGATTTAAAGCCTCTTGTTAATGGGCTACCCTTGAATTTCGGTGCTAGTGTGGGACTCCCGCCCAGCCCTCCCTGCAGAGGATGCTTCTCTGGAGTGGAGCTGGTCTCTCCAAGCAGCCAAGGCTCAGCCCTTCCTACAGCTGAGGAAAGGAACCCTTGCAAGCCCCCATCCTTCCCGCAGAGAAAGCGAACCAGAGGAAAGCCGGCAATAAAAACTCACGAGTAACCATTCAGGAAGGATCCCATTCCTCCACGACATCCACTGCTTAGAAAAGTTTCAGTTCCCCTCCCCCCACTTTTTTTTTTTTTTTTTTTTTGTTGTAGAAAAGTTCAGGCATTTAATTGTGCCATCAGACGAGGCAGGAGTCATTTATAGAAAAAAAAAAAAAAAAAAGAAGTAAATGACCTTGACACACAAATGGAGTCAATTAACCTGCAAGGAGAAGTCGGGGAAACAGGCTGATGAAAAAGAAACAGTTATATAATTTATCCTGGGCTCGCTCTGCTTTTTCTCAAAGTCAATGGCTCGTCCTACTAAGGGTGATGGGATGGAGCAGTGCCTGCCCAGCCTCCTCCCGCGACGTGCCCCTCTGCCCCACCGCTCCTGCCCCCGGCAGCTCGAGCAGATCTGCGTCCCCTGAAATACTTACTTTCAAACTCCTCACTCTCCCCCGCTCCCCCAAACCCCGGGGCAGATTCTCAAACTCCTTTTGGGAGAAATGGCCCAGCGATCCCTCGCTCCCCTCCCTCGTCACATCACCTGGGCTCGGCCCCCCCCCCCCCCCACCTCGGTGTCCCCCGGGTCGCAGCAGCCTGGACGTTAGTGGGGTTTAGCTACTCACATCTTCGGGGCCTCCCTGCCGCCGTCTTCTGCCGCCCACGAGCCGAGCGAGGCTGCAGCCCGGCACGGCCACGCTCCCGGGGGGGCTCGGGGCCTCCAGCTGCACCCGACACGCGTGGAGACCGGCCGGGAGAAGCTCGAGTTCAGAAGGAGCGAGGGGCGACCCCGAGCCGAAGGGTAACAGCCCCCCGTTTTCTCACCTCTAAACCTACACAAGGTCACAGACAGACTCGGCGAGGAGCAATCTGAAGCCTCGAGCGAGCTCGGCCGTGCCGCGGCGCGGGAGAGCCGCGGAATCCGGGGCCGCTGCCAAAGGGAGCTCGCTGCTGTATTATTGCACTGGGACGTTCAAAACGGTATCTGACACAAATGCTGAAAGAGAAAAATTAATACACACATCACCGTGCTACAAAAGCTGCAGGCCTTTGAGTGATAGGCAATTTATTCTTCACGGTCATCTCCAAACGCACAGCTCTGATCTCCTCGCTAATCACGACACAGATAGGGTCAGAAAGGAAGCGTGGAAAAATACAAACCGAGCATACCACATCACGTGTGTCTCAGAAGGTCTAAGGCACAAGAGAAACCAAAAGGCAGCATCTGGAAAGTTTTACTTTTTATTTTTCTAAAATACAAATGTCTTTTTTGTGTTAGTAACTTTAATATGATAGGCCGAATGCATCCAATAAAAAGGAGGCACTGGCTACAGAATTCAAAATACTGAAGGTATTTTCTGGAAAGAAATTTATTCCGTTGTTCTACACTTTAGATATAACATTGAATCAAATCCATTAGTTATTATTTTTACATCAGAACCTTTGAAGTTTGGGACTAATAAACTGGAACTTGAAAAGTTTTTAAAATAAACTCCTATTAATGTGTAGATATGGATCCATAAAAAACATAACCAAGAATTTTATACACTTTATTAAAAGATCAAAAAATAAACAATAACAATATAGAAGTAACATACTAAAATGAGTAGCATTATGCACATTTCTAAAGCACGTACAAGCACTACAGCAATATAACGTGGCAAAAAGAAAAATAAATTCAAAGCGTACACCCTGTTGGTAGCAGTTGAGGGAATGAACTATCATGTTATGGAACTGAAATATTGCATTAGTCTACGCCTGTCTGGATCTGATGATATTTTAATTTCTTACAATTCCACAGGGCTAACTGTAATTGTTTGTATATATTTTCTAAACTATACCATTAAATTGATATCTAATGTTTCCCTTACTTTGTTTTACCAGAAATGCCTACGGAAAGAAGAATGTGCTTCAAAGATCTACTTTACACAGTACAGTATAAATGTTTTTATATATTTAAATTAAAAATTGACAATTTAGGAGAACATTCTCTTTGATTTCAGTGATTGCCTAAAATACAATTCTCTCTAAAAAAAAATAGCGATCTGTTGTCAGGTGATATAATAGTGTGGGGAGTCTTAGTTTATTTTCATGATTTAAAATAGAAATATAATTAAAACAAAGCTCATTGGAAAGAAAAAAAAAAAAATCCCATAATCCAATCTAAGAATGGTCTTATCATCCCCTCATCTGCTAGGATACAAAAGCCATGGCAACAAAATCATTTGGCTTCCACCACTATCAAATAGCATCTGTGTACAGTAATAAAGAACTGGAACCTTGTAATTCGGTGTCAGGTAATTCTCTCTGTTGTGTGTTTGGAAAAATAACTTCGTTTTATTTAATAGTTGTGTTATTTTTGCATGTTTAAATATCTCTTTTGAGAGGCATATATAGAATTATTTTTGATGATAGAGGATGTCAGTAAAGATCACTAGCAAAGATTTTAGCAGTGTTGTCATGATCATGCTCATAGCCCCACGAAAAGTTTGGCCAGCTACGATTCGTTTCACATAGTGCAAAATATTTTTCTCTCATAATCCTAGAAATGTGAAAGAGCTTGGTTATAGAAATTGGTTGCAGCAAAGGGAAGCCTTAATAGCACGGTGGCTAGAATTAGCCGATTAGTTCCTATTAAAATCTAAGTTATTGTGACACCCACGAAGAGAGGCGACACCTGATTTTTTTTTTTTTTTTTTTTTTTTTTTTCCCCCCATTTTTAAAGACGCTGGGACCGCACGACGCTACGGCTCCGGTTCAGCAACCCCCCTGCTTGAACGGACCTGGTGGAGCAATGCGGGCTGGCGTCACCGGCTCCTCCAGCGGCAGCCGGAGAGCAGGTCTGGCACTCGGCAGCGACACCTCAGCCCCCGACCCCGCAACGGGCAGGAAAGGGAGACAGTGACATCGGGTGCCACCACCCCACCCGCTCTGCTCTGGGGCGCTCGGCTCGCTGCTCGAGTCGGGACCAGCCTCCCGGTGAAACCGGCCGCCTTGCTGAAGCAAATCTGGGGCTTGGGTTTTGGGGAAAAAAAAAAAAAAACAAACCAAAAAAAACCAAAAGAAACAAACAAAAAAACCCCAACCCAAACCAAACCCACTGACTTGTTCCAATCAAAAATAAATGGGTCAAGACAGGCGCTTGAGCTTCTCCGGAACCAGCCCCCTCCCCGGGGCCTGCAGAGCGCTGGCAGCCCCCCCAGCACCGCGGGAAGGGAACCACGATGCTGCTCAGCAGGCTGGGGGAGCAGGGCCGCGCTCGGCCTCGGGGGGCAACGCCACGGGGCTCGCTAACCCCGGCCAGAAGCCCCGAGCTGGCCGTGCCCAGCTCCCACCCCCCCGCCCCGGCGCTCCTCCGGCAGCGTGCGGGAGGCAGCAACCGGGCAGCGCTTGTCCCGCGGAGGGACGCCGGGCAGCAGAGGCAACCGGCCCCGTCCATCCCCTGCTCATCAGTCCCCTCCCTTGCCCCACAAAGCTGAAAAAAACCTCCCCCAGCAATAAAAAAAAAAAACAAAAAAAAAAAAACAAAAAACCCACCAAAACGCTAAGTCGCGACATTTCAAATTCCCTCTGGGATTTAAAACGCTCGCTGCAGTGACAGTCACCTCTAACGGATAAACACTTCCAGCTAGAAATAGGATTAGGTGCTAGGAAAAATGTGTGCCTGCCGCCACGGACCCGTCAGTCCTCACAGGATTCACCGAGAACACGACCTATCAGAAACATGACCTAGGGTGTGTTTGGAAATCTAGGCCGATTAAAAAAGAACAAAAGTAAATCAAATCTTTGCTAGTGACCTTACTAATTAATTAAGCACTGTTTCCCATTTCTCCGTGCTGCAGGTTGGAGCTGACCTGTTATCAGTCTGCTGTATAATAAGCTATGGCAAACTACAAAGCTTTTACAACAGCAAAGCAACATCATGCTTTCAGATAAGTTTTATAGCAAAAAACTCCTCCTTTTCAAAGCCTTAGTAATACCTATCTCTTTTACAAACTTTTCCTGTATTATTACAGACTTTTAATATTCAAAATAAGTTCCAAGGATTTCTTTCGTGGACTATGTACATAAGTGCAAAAAAGGTGTGTCTCACACATTCGTACACTAACTGAATCAGTTTAACTGCAGCATATTTGTATCTTCAACACTGTTACAGGGTCATTCCACAATATTTTTTTTTTTTCTTATGTACAGTTTTTGCTAATATAAATTAGTATTAAAATAGTTATATGCTTAATTATTTAGCCCTGATCGTAACATAATCGCGTGAGTGCTCAATTTCTGGAGAAAAGAAAATCGCAGGCAGAGCTACAGTACGGAAACGGATTAATTCTGAATTCCCACCGTGTGAATGAACGTGAAATGAAAGCAAGACCGGTCACTACGTCGTAAATACAGGTTGTCGCGTTTTCGAAGTGAAAATACTGTGGAATAACCCTTGCCACACAACAATTTCTACAAGCTATAAAACCTGACTCTAAATCCATGTGTTGTAAACTTCTTGACTGAAAGAGTGACCTTAAAGACACAAATTCAGCGTTCACATGGGACTTTGGGATTTTAAAAATATTCAGTCATATCTTTATCTGACAGTATCGAACTGTACCTTTAACAAGCTCATACTGTTACACATCACTTTTAATTTACATGTGAAAATTTCACAAATAATGTATACAAAGGTAGCCATGTTGTAGTTTTGTTGCCATAGCAACAACAACTTAATATAATTAGTTAACAATGAATCTATCATTGTAGGAGTTACATACAAAGTTAATTTTGTTCTTAAACTGTAAACTATACAAACTAGTTATGGACTGTATTCTATACCTTACCATGCTTCAGTGTTGGTTTAGAATATAACTAAATGGGCTGAATACATGTATTAAAAATTTTTAAACTTTCTCTAACTCTCCTTCAAAATTAAATTCATTAGTTACTAAAGATATCAAAAAAAGCAATAATGAAAACCTTAAAAACTAATGGCAGAGAAATGAAAATATATGACATGAATCAATGCGTTGTAGCCTAGTAACAATGTGTTGTAGCTCTATTTACATTTGGATTAGGCTATCAACTATTTTTTTTTTTTCTTTTTTAAAAGTTATTACAGTCTTTAACATACAGTATATACTCTAAGGCCTTCAACAGGCACATGGTAAAATCAGGTCAATATCAAACTAAATCCATTCAACAGGAATGGGAAATTAGATTTTCCTCATAAATTTCACCTTTCTCAATTTTCATGTCTGTGAAATGTACAAGGGATAAAGAAAACGAGGGCTCCAGTTTCTCAATCCTCGCGCGCCCCGGAGCCGCTCCGCCGCGGCGGAGGAGCAGACGTCTCGTCTCGCCAGGCGCACGGAGGAGAGGCCAGCGTCACGGGGCCAGGCACACGGGCTCCTCCCGGGGCCGGCTGCACCCCCGGCCCCCCGGCCCCCCGCTGCCCCGGCCCCCGGCCCCCGGCCCGGGAGGTCACGGATTCCGGAACGTCGCGATGCAAAAATAGACAGTCAAAAATCATCGGCTAGAAATTTCCAACTAAAAAACACGGCTGATTGTGAAATCATGTTCCAAATTACTAAAACCACTGTATTTAACAAAAATAATCTTAATAGTTTTATGAATCCATTTTATTTTAAATCCCTCTTTTATTGTCTGCTTATGTTACAGTTTAGTAGTAGTACTTTTTATTGAAACTACTAACAACCTTTTTGCGTGAAAATGATCAATCTCAGCTTTCATTTTCCCTCTGCATGACCCGTTTTATCCAAGTTTCAGCATTTCTTGCATAATGTTTGCATAAGGCTGAGAGAAATGGACAAAGAGAAATAACTTTGGATAAATAAAAAATATAGGTTCATGGAAAGTGGGAAGCTTATAAAAATGTCACTAAAATTATATCGATTTAAACAAACTTACATACATCTCTTGTCAAATAAAGGATGATATTCATGCTTTTATGACATTTGTTTAGAGTCACTAGCTAGCTCGGTGACTTTGTAATAGTCTATTTAGGAAATTTATAGTCTGGCGACTGTTTTTTTTTTTTTTTTTCTTTTCTTTCTTGAACAAAGAAAATTAGAGCAAGTCATTGCACAACTAGTTTAAATAGTGCTACCTCAAAATGGCATTTTTGCCGAGATTGTTTTGAATTTGGTGAAGTTTAGTGCTTCAAGCTTTTCTTTCCTTAAACTCATTTACAAATTAACTCTAAATTTGCCAGCAATATAAAAACTGTTGTGGCACCTAATATAACTACCCTGAACATCCCTCATTGGACCTCTTTAATAAAAAATAATCCTTAAACGCCTTTTTTTTTTTTTTTTTTCAGTGCTTTAAATGTGACATGAAAACAGCTGTATTCTAGGTTTACATTCTATGCACATCTATGCCAGATGTTTAAGTCGATAAATAAAATAGGAGGTTACATCAAAGTGTCAAGATATACAAAAATCCATTTAGCACTGAAAAAATTCCAACCTCCTTGAACTCATAAAGCCATACAAGCTTGAATGCATCCTTTCTGGCTTAAGAAGATCAGCTCTGTTCTTTGTTGAGGCACTGGCACAGGTTGTGCAAAACCCATTTTTGATACACAAATAATTTCAAACAGGAAGTACTCAAATCCACTTTTTCCACTAACAATGTTATGGTTTCGGGAAACAGAAACTCAGTGGTGAAAAGAACAGGTATGCGGTCACCAGTACAAACGAGAGTCACTGGTTTCTGGCAACGCTGCTGCCTGTGAGCGCCAGCGGTGCTGGGGAACATCCACGGACACAAGCCACTGCCAAAACACGGGGTCCGTAAAGGAGGGCCTGGTTTGGGGCGGGGGGAATGGTTTTTCCCCTTGTCTCAGGGTTTGGTTCAAAGCCTGAGGAAACGAATGGGGAGATTCCTTCTGGCAAGAGGCCTTTGTGAGCTGGGCTCTTCAAAGGTGCTTGCTACGGGCCGAGGGTCAGACCCTACTCTGGGACGCACTGGCTGTACCCTAAATGCCCCTCCGTCACTCGTGGTCCGTGGCAAACTATCTGTGCTCACACTGGAGGAGAGGGGGGCAAGGAAAGTCTCTAACCCAGGCCAAGGAACTCGGAAAAGAAAAGCAAACCTAGCTGTCAGAATTTGGCACCCTACAGCACCCCGGCGAGCTCGGGGTGGCCGCCCCCCTGGGCACTGGGAGCTGGCCTCTTGCTCAGTTTCAACAACAATTCTCTTTCTCTTTGTATGGAGTTTGCGGATTTGCAGCAGCAAATCCATCCTCTCCATAATGCCAATGATACTGTAGAGCCGTGACGGGGGTGAATTTGGCCGTTTTCTCAACCAAAATGCATTCTACAGCCAGATTGTTCAGCAACGCAGCGTAACGACAGGCGGGGCTCTCCAGGGTGCACGGGCTGGAAATCGTTTTATTCGTGCGTATGGAAAGGAGGTATCGAGAACTAGCCCTTGTTGTGCAGCAAACATTGCTCTTGATCAAGTAGAAGGTGCCGAAATAAATCCACTGACCTACAGGATCTCCATTAAGATGAACGTTTTTCTACAGTAGAAAGCTTACGCCCAGGTTTTTCCTGCTTTGTTACTGATGTGTTTGGTTTCAAGGGCCAGAGATCACGGGGAAAAAAAAATCACTCACTTATGGAAAATGGTGATTAAAATAATCAGTGCACGCTGACAAAATTTCAAGAGGAGCCACGTAAGATTTCAGGCCGAAATGTTTCAGCATGCTTAGTGGAGACAAGCCCCGGGCACAGTATTCCCCAGCCTGGGCTAAGCCATGGCTGTGGGCCCACTCCAGCCAACCGTTGGCATCTGCTCCTCTCCAACACAACCAGTCTTTGCCCAGCTGAAGCTGTCTCACTTCACCACCTGGGTTTTGGTTGTTTTTTTTTTTTTTTTGTGTTTTTTTGCTTTGACTGCACCATGAAAACAGCAAGAGAGATTGTGCGCCGTTTGCAGCTGAGAATGCACTTCAATGGACAACAGAACTGCAGAAGAAATCCCTTGATGCTCACCACCGTCTGAGCAAATCGTTCCTGTTCCTGTCCCCTCACTGAACCTGGGCTTTTGTGGGGCTTTTTCCAAAAGTTTCCAGACTCAGCTCATTGTATCTAAAGAAATACCCTGAACTGGACTAAAATTACAGCTGTCCTTTCATAGTACTTATACTAAAAATTCGGAGACTCTATCTGAAGGCAAATTTTAAAGGATAAAAGGAGCATTTAACACAAGCAACTTTAGCTGACATTAGCAGTAAAATCCAGCAAAGGGCAGAACATTCCTGTGTCGTGGTTTTCAAGCACATAATTCCTGTTTCCCACAATAACATTTTTAGTAAAAAACAAACAAAAACCCATAAAACCTACAGTATATGAAAACTTAAGACATAACAATAATGAAAAAATGGTATTGAGTATACTTGATAATGATGTACACTTTAAAACAAATCAATAGACTATGATGTAAACAAAACAGTAAGATAACACTTCAAAAACAAGACAAACATTTATCCATCGATAGTATACAGTAAACCAACAGTCCGCTGTGCAGATGCACTTATCAGGATGGTAGTCATAAAATGATTAAGTGTGTTAAAGTAATGTGTTATAAAAGTCTATTATAATTTTCTACTTGTATATCTCATATAACAGAGCGCTGTTTGTTAATTGTTTCTATAGTGCTTTTTTTTTTTTTTTTTTTTTTTTTTTTTTTTGACATTCCCATTGATCAGTTTTTGGTTAACATGTAGGCTGCAACAGGCTTACTGTAGAGGTGGTAGAGAACGATAGAGGGAAAAGGGGATATATACAGAAAGGCCATGCGCAGCTTCCCACCAAGAAGTCCTGGTGCTCCATAATTTTACTGTTCAGAATTTCAACATGGTCTGCTGCAGGGGAAAGACAAAACGACAACAAAGAAAGGGTGAGAAGTTAGAGAGAGATATATCTGTATTTTAATAAAAGTAATTCTAATAAGATACATTTACATCCCCCACTGTGATGCCCACGAGGTTGCCATTAGTATGTTGCAGAGAGAAAACATTTTATTCCCTTAATTTTCTGATGTAGGGCGAAACTGCTAATAGCACACTTGGCATCCTCTTTAATCTGCACTTTGGGCTTTCCATTGCCAGGGCACTTCACACACACTGACAAAACAATCAGTGGAAGAGGGAGGTGAGCGAATAACAGTCTTATTTTTGGACAGGATAGCAGGTGGAGAGTGATTAAGGAGAGGGCCGAAGGAATCCCTGACCGCTGTTAGCTCCCGTTTCCTTCGGAGAGAGCCACAGATAGTCACACAAAAATCTGATCCTAAGGAGCCACGAGCCAAAGGCGAATTGGGCCCAGAGGCAAAACGCAGGCTCAGAAACCCTGTGCTCAGGGGACCCTCTCCTGGGAGCAAACCGCCTCTCCTGGGATGGGCTCAGGAACATCCTCCCCTGAAGGCCCCAACACTCGTTTCCCGCAGAGCTAGGCTAGCCAGCCTGGCTACCAGGACCTCGGCAACCACGGAGGGCAAGAAAAGCATCTGCCACAGCTGCAAGTGTTTCGGTTGCCCAGCTCCCACTCAGGGCAGCTTTGGGAATTGCCCCTCAGCACTGCGGAGTGCCAACCAAGGTCCTCGTCTGGCAAAACACTCGAGCACAGGCATAATTTCACATGCTCGGGTGGCAGCGCCAAACGATGAGCCCTCGAGAGATCTGCTCCCCTTTAGTTTACGCACAGACACGGGGAGGGGTAACAACCCAGGCGTGGCATCAAAACGCACAGGCTGTTGCATGGAAATGGTCACGGGTGGGTCTGGGAGCACTGGGAATGCTAGGGGACAGAGCCCTTTTCTACCAGCCTCTGAAGGTGGTTTATGTCCTGCAGCTGCGAGGTCTTAAGAGGACAAGTGCTTTTGGCAGAGCGGTGCCCTCATGAAGAACAGGCTCCTTGTCTGACCCAGACCTGGACCCTCTCCATGCCCAGTAGCCTGATCCCCAAGAAATCCCATCAAATTCGTGCTGACCCTACTTCTTTCAAGCAAAGGTTTTCCTTAACAGCACAGCCAATGCTTTGTTCAACAGACTGTGCTGTGCTCCCTACTTACTAAAGAAATATGTCCCATGGAAGTTCCTCGCCGAGTCTGAAATCACTATTGACAGTGCGAGTTTAAGCACGTGCACAGACGTGAAAATGAAAAGAACTCAAGAAAAAAAGAAGCTTCCTGAAATAAATGCCGAAAACAACCTCAAAGAGTTCAAGAATGAGGCTCTTCCCATGCAAATGATCTCCTTATCGGGTGGAACAGGCTGCTTTGCACGTGTTATGGAAATGGGTTAACATGCCAGGTGTCACGTCTGTCTGCCTGTTGTTTGGGGGAGCTGCACACTGTGGAACACGGAACACGCTCGCTAACGGGGACAGCTTGGTGTTCTCCCCTCCAGGAACAGGGGTCCGTGGCCACAGTTTCACGGCTCATTCATACGTACGTTACTTTATTAAGGTCAGCAGAGCAACTTTTGTTGACTGCTAAAGGTATCATTAGAGAGTTGCTTGCCAAATTAATTTCCACCTGCTCGTAATACGTGACCCAGGGAAGAAACACGTTGTGTGTCTGTGTGTACTAAATGGTCTGCACTGGGAAAATCTGGTGACCTTTAGTTGAATTGGCCGAACTGCTCTTTACTCTCATGGGGTAAAAGGATACAGTGACGAACTGAAACCCTCAGGGGATTTTCTGTCATGAACATCAGCTAACACAAAGAAAAGCAATGGAAAAATGACACTGCTGCTATGGCTGTGAAATAATACTCTGTAAGTCAAAGAAAAGGACAAACTCCTCCCTCGTTGCCACTCAGAGAAACCTAGCAGCCTAGGGAAGCCCAGGATCTGCAGGCAGGGTGAAGGATATGCTTGATGCTTGTGGCGTTCGTCCTGGGCTTAAACACGTACAAGGACCCGTGATGAAACCTCCCACGAGCCAGGCCCCCACTGCAGCCGAACAGCTCAGACCAAGCCAGCCTTGCAGATGCAGAGCAGCTGATGATGACCGATCCTGCTTACCCCAGGAAAGGAAACATGCCGCTAACAGCAAAAGAGAAGTTACACCTTTTCAGCTGACTCATTACCAGAGCAGTCTTTACTGTCAATAGCGCAAATCCCCGAGGCACCTGCAGGCAGCTGGGAGCCGTGCAGAGCAAGAGTGACCTGTAAACACAGCCATCAGCCTCCGAGGGACGCAAGAAGGGAGGCAGCCAACACCGTGAACCAGGTATTTTAGGCACAAGGAAACGCTGCGGGTTATAAACCAGAGGGCTGGTCCGTGTCTGCGCTGCAGCTGCTGGATTTCTGCTGAGTTTGCAGAGCGCGGAGCCACCGGGGTCCCGCAGGCTCGGCCCCTCCGCCCGAGCCAGCCCCGCTTTGGGGGATGCTGTGCCCTTGTACAAAGCAATCCACCGTAAAGAGAAATACCGAAAAGGGACTTACTGTTCTATTGGGAACTTCTACATCTGTGAAACAAACATGCTGCTACTCAGTTCATCTACTGATAACTGGGATATCTACAGCAAAAAGAACAAAGAACACAACACATTAAAACATTGTCTTGAGATCGGGCTGCTCATTCTGTCTTCAGTATCAGGTTAGTAAGTACATCAGTGTCTTATAAAACAGGATCCATTCCCAAAACGTCTTTATTTTGCCACACATTAAGTACAACGTAGCTGCATCACTACTGATGCCTCGTGGAGTACGTAGTGATTATACTGGGATTTTAACTCCATAGCCTACAAGTGAGACAGAAATGCCCTGAAACTATCTGGCTGAAACAGGACTCATACAGCCACAGAGCAACGCTGCACAGGAATTTCTGCTTTCTTCTCATGACCAATATGAGCATGAATAAGACCTGCTCTACCTGAAAATAACAACAAAGCACGGAAAAAGACTAGCAATCCCTACAGCGAGCAGTAAAACACTGCCTAGGACTTACGCAGGCAAAACTACTGAAAGCCTTGTGACCTGGCACTCGCAAAAGACTAGAGAATGCCCCCTGAGATTTTTACTGACGTTTGGCATGGCTAGCAGCCTCCTACAGAACAAAGTGACACCCTGTTTTCTTTGCAATAGCTCTAAGCCTGAGAGCATAACAAATAAAAATACTGAAATTAGTATTGGGGGGAAAATAATAATAATAATAATAATAATAAAAAAAAAAAGTCTTTGAAATGTCTCTGGTCTAACTGGGAAAAGTTGTGGCACACCAAATTATCAGGAAGCATCACTAGGACAGGTTGTGCATATACAGTTCAGGACTGGTGCGGAAGCAGCCATCACAACTCAGTATCTTCAGAGGAAAGTTTTGGAGAGAATTATGGCTCGGCAGACATGCATGAAATCCTGTACACTTATGGCAGTGCTACAACGGCACGTACTGCACATCCAGAGTCATTTCTGTAGGGATGGGTGACATGCTACTGGTGTAAAGAAGCTTCAGACTTCACAGACTCACCCCCGATTTTTTGGGTTTTGGGGTCTTTTTAGTAGTTTTTAGAGTCCAATCTTGCAGTGGGGGGAGCCCACTCTGTGTTTCCACTTCCACTTTCCAGCCAGGAGGGGACATGCCAAAATACCACGGGGAAGGATGCTCGGGGTGGTATTTCTGCTTGAGACTGAAAGCAGAAGCGCTGCAGGTCTTGCGCGACAGTACGCTCGGGAGTTTTCCATCCCGTTTTTTTGGGGGGGTTTTGTTTTTTTTTTTTTTTTTTTTGGGGGGGGGGGGGGGTGTGGGGGTGTGGGGGAGGGCGGGGAGGGGGGCCCCAGGGCGGGTGTTGTTTTTGGAGAAGCGCCTGCACCCCTGCCGATCGCCCATCCCTACGCTCCGGCCGGTGCCCTCTCACCGATCCCCGGGACGCACGCACACGCACACGCGCACGCACACCCACGCGGCGCACGCAACGCACACGCTGCCCCTGCGCGCCCGAGCCTGCGCCGAGCCGAGCCGGCGCTCGGCCCCGCGCAGGATCCGGCCCTCGCCCGGTCCTCGAGATCTCAACACGTGAAAGAAAGCCATTGAAAGGGCCAAACCTGATTGGCGGTAGCTGTTGCAGCGAAGGGGACGCTGGTGGCAGGAGTTGTTGCTGCAGACACAGTGGTGGGCGTAGCACCGTGCATCATGGGCACTTTCGGAAGGGAACCATGGAAGCGACATACGGGAGGGTGGAGCGCATATTTGTTTTGTTTTGTTTTGTTTTGTGGTTTGTATTTTTTTTTTGGTTGTTGTTGTTGTTTTTTATTTGTTTTATTATTTTTTTTTTTTAATATATATATATATATAAATGTAACCATGGCAACATGTGGTGGATTTGGGGGCGTGGCAGGAATCACAGCAACAAGCCATGTGACATCGTCATGAAGGACACATCGGGGCGCAGCATGCAATCACAGTGCAAAGCAAGACAGCGTTGGGAAAAAAAATAAACAAGAGAGAAGGGGAAAAGCCAATTACAATTATAATTAAGGAAAAAACCAAAACATTCTCAACACTTAGTACATTTATAAGCAGAACAATGATGTATTAGACTCTGAGGGCCAAATTTCCAAAGGGGGGAGAGGGTGGGTGTGCTAGCAAAAGCCCACGTCAGCTCGCACCCGTGGGGAGTTAGACACAGCCAGTGCACGTTCCTTTGGGTGGGGACATTTTGGCAAGCGCACCCTCCCGCCCGCCTGGGAAAGCTTGTCCCCTTCCCTCCCCACCCCATCCCCGCCAGCAACCAGAGGTACATGATGCACTTTGCAGCGGCTGCCACAGCCCTTTCACCGGGTTTTCTTGCCTCTCTCTAGCAGGGACGATGTTTCGGCACGGGACAGAGCTGGAGGCACGGCAAACGAGCGGCTGGCAGCCCGAGCTCTCTCCGTACAAATTCAGCGTGCTTCCTTTCCACCCTACTTCTAGTGGATTTGGCAAAACTCCCCTCTTTCGGGGTGGAGGGGGATGGAGAGGGGAGGGGGCCGAGAGGGAAAAATACACGAATGCATCTGAACAGCTACAATTTGCAGAAAGAGCATCCGAAAGGACAACACGGCAGCAGGGAGCTTGGCAGCCTCTGGCAGCTGCGTGTGCCGCAGAGCGCGGTGCCAGAGGGGATGCTCCAGGGCACACACGGGCATCCCCCAAACCCGGGGAGGGGGGTTTGCCGGGCTGGGGAGCCCGCTGGAAGGCCCGGCCGTCCCGGCAAGCATGCGGCGGGGCAGCAGACCTGCCTTCCCCCTCCGCCCCAGCAGATACGGCGGGGAGCGTGCGCGCCCCCAGCCACGGGACGTCGGGGTGTGTGGGCTGGGGTTTCCTACAGGCAGAGGTGTGTCTGAAGGGCTCAGCTCCCCGTCATGCAAGCGGTGTGTCCTCCCTGCGCTACAGGGACGGGGAGGCTGGAGAGCAGAGTGCTTAGCCATTCCTGCCAAAGCTTTCAGGCCTGCTCCTCAAAAACCTTGCACCCTCCCCGGGGCTCCTGCTCCTGTCTCTTTCCTCTGGCTGAAGCAGGCACACACCTAGATGCTGGTAGTCTTGTATAACCTTGGTTGGAGGACGAAAGCTCAGCTCTCACCCACCCCGCTGCGCCCAGCAGCTGTAGACAGAGGAGAAGCTCCCTCAAAGACCCGCACAGGTTCCCAGTAAGACCCAGATGCCTAGCCTGAACATACGGGATCCCTGCAGCAGCAAGGAGCATGTACTCAGCCCTGCTGCCTCACTGCATCCCACACGCACCGGCAGTGGTCCCTTCTACCTGCACAGCTCACACTGCACTGAAGGGACGAGTCTTCAGCCAGTCCACGGCCTAAGCCCTGCTCCTCTCGCTGTACAAGCAGTGCCCTGCTCTAGCAGAGGGGCTGACCCCAGCTGTGTCCCTCCTTAGCGGCTCTATTAAACCAGTCTCCTAAAATGTCCTCAGGAGGACAACCAAAAATCCAAACTCTAATTCACCTGATGCAAAAAAAAAAAAAAAAAAAAAAAACAAAAACCAACAGGATCCTCCCGTTGCTATTTCCTTTTATTGGATGACTTAAATGGGTTGTAAAGACATTTAAGTGACAAATTTTTGTCTCTGCAGCAGAACTAAATAGGGGTGGGAATGCATTCACCTTGGACTCTCTTATTAGTCACATGAAACACTGCACTGCACAGAAATTAAAAGGGATACAACCATTTAAGCCTCAAAGAAGACAGCGGATAGACAGTCACACCACTCAGCCACCCAAGTTCTCACTGATGCATACTAACTTGCTGTCTCTTTCAGATTAGGAAAAGTTGAGAAGTTTGTGTAGAAAAACCTACCAACGCTTGCAGTGGGTGTCATGCACAGAACTGACCCTGCACACCATGCATTGAAGCGTGGAAAGATGAACAAAAGGGATATTTCATTAGTGAAGCTTCAGTGTTAGAAATCACTTTAACTAAAAAGCAGGTATTCTCTTTGCAGCATTCAGTATTTAAGCACATGCAAACAGATTCTGCATATTGGTACATAAATAATTTAAACTCAGTTTTAAGAGATCATAGCAAACCAAATTAATTCTTGAATTCTTGGGTAGTAGAGAATATATTTCTTCTCCCACCCTTGTATTAAACTCTATGATCTATCCTAGAAATCAGGGTTGTTTGGGGTTGGTTGTTTTTTTTTTTTTTGGTATTGGGTATGTTGATTTCTTTCTGATCACGTCAGCAGAAAACCAATTACCCTTAGAGGAACGTCACACTCATGTTAAAACTGACTTTCCAAAAGCAATTTACTCCTGCAAGCAGGGACCAGGATTCAAAGTCTCTAGTTTAAGCTGAAAGAGGCAGTTTTTTTCTGGACTTGAAACAATTGTAGTGATGATGCCATTTTCAAGAAACCCTGACTTTCCCCTCCGTGATGCTGATCTCTCAATAACTGAACAGGAGAAACTAAGACAAGCAACAGCTCGCTCCCCCTCCCCACCGTGTCAGCTGCGACACGCCACTTCTCTGCTTCGCTTTCCAGAGCGCTGCAAAGGCTGAGACCAGATCTGCAGTCGGATGCATCAGGGACAACGGGGATGCATCATGTAAATTCATCAGAGATCCGTCCTCTGACCGGAAATTTGCTGCTCTGCCCGGCATTAATGTCCTCAAACGAGAGCAGGTGCCAGCAAATAGACCTGTTACGCATCAGCCCGGCGTGTAATTTCATTGCCATGAGACAGGGCACAACAGCACCGTGAGAGTGCTGGGTAAAAGCTAATTTGTAGAGCTCGCATCAGAAATGCGTGTCCTTATGTCAACTTTGGCAACTGCGACCTCAAGGGAAGGGGAGCGTGTAGCCAGCTGGGGGACTTGGCATTCTCAAAGCCTTCCTGAAGAAGTATTTCGCTTGGCACCTGGCAGAGCTGCGCTAAGGTCGGCTCAGCCCGTCCCCTCCCAAGCACTTTGCAGAGCACAAGGTGGGAAGCTCCTACTCGAGTCCCTCCCTCCACCTCTCCATACAAGACCCCACCTCCCTGGAAGAACATCTTGGCAGCTGCTGGGTGACTCCAAGTGCCCTCGTAACAGGAAGGCCACCCCAGCACAGGGTGTAGGTCCCAGCTCTCTGCACCCATACTCACACCCCAGCCAGTTTGCTCTCAGTGTGGGACTGTCTCCTAAAGCTCTTCCCCTGACCCCAAGGAACGGCAAGGCCGAGATCCATGTCCACCGTGTGTTTACTTTGAGGAGCCAGCCCAGAGGAACGCTTTGTGTATTTGTTGTAAATACCATCTGGCAAGTGAATTCAGCATTAAACATTAAAAACACTGGGCATTCCTTTTCTTATGATGCTCTGCAATGATAATAACAATACTAAACCCCAAGCTATCGGCTCTGGAATATTCCTAATTCAGCCACTTATAATACTTACTACTCTAAGCAGGTTTTGTTTTTCATTTGGCTGCAGTGAATAGAGGTTAACTGGGTAGTCAGCAGTCACATCTTCCATGTCAATATTTCGAGTCCTGAATGAATTACCGAACTGCATCTTTCAATTTTACTCTGAGACCTTAAAGGTACAATAAACGCTAGGAGTTAAATTGCTTTTAAAAAGCTTAGGCTATCGCCCTGGTCAAAAGACAAGCAAGAGGGAAATAAATGCCTTTAAAGAGGATTATGTAATTTGTATTTACTGAAGATGAACCGTTCCCTCTATAAACATCGTGGCTGCTGGAATATGTAGGTCACTGAGATAGAAGCTCAGAAAGATACCTGCAGCTTCAAGTGAGAGGGCATAGAGGTCCACAAGACATTTTAACATGAGTCCGTAAGAGTGGTACACAAGAGTCAAAGAATTAATTTGGGACTAACCAGTTGAACCATAAGGAGGAGAAAATAGAAAGTATGAATTCAAGAAACATGCAGACTTTTTTCTTAGTTCGACCGCTTAAAAAAACCCAAGACCAAACAAAAAAGGCTAAGAAGGGATCTTTACAAGTGAAAAGCTCTGAACTGTAGCAGGTGAAGGGAAAAAAAGTCAAACAACAAATGTTAACTTTTTATCCATTTTTAACAGGAAACTACACAAGGATACTCTTTTGCTAAGGACTCTTACAAAATGTGCTCATTAGCTCAACGCCTAACTCATAAAAAAAGACAACTACGATGCTGGGGAAAGCAAGGGGACACTTACCTGTAGGGATGAATGTAGGCTGTTGCAACTGCATGTTGGCTAGAGCCTGTTGGTAGTGGAAAACGCTTGGGTTAAAGACTGTGGTGGCACCATTGTTTTTTTCAAGTGCTGGCCTCTTTGGTAAAGGTTGAAGTGCACCAGGCGGCAGGGCCTGTGGATAAGGGAGTCATTAAAGACAAATGGAGTAAAAAAAGGGGCCAGGTGTAGATCAAGCATGCAATAAATAGTAGGGGGTCTTGGCTGCAAATCACCTGCAACTGTATCAACTTAGGGAGACAGGAAAGAGAAGAGCCGCTAAATCACAGTAGAAGTAGGAGGTGAAACCACAACTCACTAGGTAAGCAGTTAGTAAATGCACCAGGAGAAGGGGCAGAGTCCAGAGGCGGGGGGGGGGGGGGATGCTAAGGGAGCTTTTCAGCAGGACTGTCTTGGGCACACAGGGAAAAAAAAAAACACGAGGAGAAGGAAGGGGAGACATGATCACCTGGACGGGATACTACGAAGAGCAGTTGCAGGCAACAAGCATTTTAAAAAAAATACAACAAAACAACAAACAAACCGAAACAAAACAGGTAAGAGGAATACAGTAGATGACTATTTATAAACAAGATTAGCATAAGCAACAAACACCGTGGAAAAAAAGGGATGCTTGCCTCTGTTTCAACACCTGCCTACATGTATGTGCACATGTGTGTAAGCATGCACACGTGTGTGCAGCTGACCCATGTGTCCCAGCGGTAAAGCAGTGGCTGTTGCCAATTCCACGCGTAGTGTCACATTCATAGTAAACTGCATTTCCACTCGTTAGCAGAGAGGATGAGCAACATGGTCAAGAACAGGCCTGATTCTCCACCGCCCGGAGCAGCGGCACAGCTCTCCCCCAGCAGATTTGGACTTGCTCCCAGCTTCCAGAAGGTGGCCTCCAACAGTTAAACACTGCTCACTCGTTATGAACAGTGGAAAAAGCCATCGACGAACGCGGTGTTGGAACAAGATTTGGGTGGGCCTTGCTATCAGGCAAATCCCCTCTTTTTGTTCTATCACACCACCAAGCTTCTTCCAGCCTGTCAAACCCGTTTCATGATCAGACTTGGTAAAAAGCATTAACCCAACTCAGGAACTTTTCTCAGTGAGTTACTCATCATTCACCCAAGCATGTCTCAACAGCAAAGTAGTATGTCAGGTTCTTAGGAGACAGGAATGTTTCTAATGATTTACAGCTTTTCATTGTACCCAAGTAGAAACCACATTTTTTTCTCCACATTGTGATAGAAAAGGGTCCTTTTAATTATGCCCTGCAGTCCTGTTGCACGCAATGCTCCCACTGACGTCAATGAGATTTATGCACGTGGAAGTCATGCAGAATCAGGTCACTTCTGCCTAGCTGTTAGTCTGTACCACGTAGCAAAGCAATGGCTGAAAAACAGGGTCATCACTCCTAGGGTTTTTTTTTTTTTTTTTGAATAGGTAACAGTGAAGGGCAGGTAATGGAGGAAGTTTAGCTAATGAACAGGTAAGGCTACAAACACACAGACTTGGAAGAAAGGACACAAGTAAAGAGATTTTAAAGTGCTATGAAGATCAACACACAACAGAATATAAGTGAAAGCTTGCAACAGTTTGTCACCATCTAGAAACAGGTTTCACTTTAAATTTAATTTGCTATAGGAGACTGCTCATCTGAGAAATGTTAAGCAAGATACTTCCAGGCAAAACATTACTCCATCCTATCTCTATTGACATGGTGGCTTTTGGGTGGTTTTAATATTAAAAAAAAAAAAAAAAAAAAAAGAAAATTAGAAGAAGAAATTGCATTTGCAAAACTGCCCCCAGACATGCACACATCCTCTGCTAACGCTAGCAGGCATCCAGTGCCAGCATTAGGACCTAATCTTTCCAGATTTCTTCTGGCTAGTACCAAAGGAGCAGTGAAACACAGGACAATGTTTTCAGACACAAACACCAAAATCTTTTGCTTAAGATCTGTATTTTACAACGAGGTCCTTTACATAAAGAACTAAGAGTTTCCATTTCTAGGTAAGCCCTCATTGATATCCACGTTAACTCTGACTGTATCTACAGCTTGACTATTTAATGATGGCTACATGAATGTTCCTCAAGGCATGGGACAGATCTGCAGCTTGTGGAGTAGCTCCATGTACATTGGAGGTGTTTTACAGATTTACAGTGACTGTAGAACTTGCTGCTTAATTCATGCTCTTTACTGTGCCTGATTTGCTAAACATTCTTTTTTTCAGATGCTTCCAAAATCCTCCTCAGAAAAAAAAAAATACTAATTATAGCAAAGCACCTGTGCCAGGCACATAATGGACTTTTGACTCCTTGCTTCTTGGTCAAAGACTGTCACCACCCCAAAACCTCCATTATCCCATAATGGCAGTGCCAAAAGCAGAACAGCTGAAGGCTTTGAGACCCCGCCGTGACGTCCTGGCTCTTTACAGGACAATTCCTGAGCCCAGCGCTGTGCTCAGAGGGAGCACACAAACACCAGCAGGGCACAGAGATGTCCACGCACAATGGACAACCCCAGTGCCTCCCTAACATCACCCTTCCTCCTCCCCTGCTGCAGCCCCTTGGGAAATGCCTGAACAGCAGGCGAGTGGAGAAGCCCAAATAAATGCAACATTTCCAGAGTCTTCTAAAGAAGCAAGCACACTGCAGCAGCTTCTGCGCAGCCTGAAGGCCGGCTCTGCCACGCGGGCTCTGCGGCCGCAGGAGCTCGGAGCCCTTCTCGGTCTGCTTCTGGTTCGGCACAGCTTTCTGGGTCTCCTCTCCCACCCCAGCAGCTGGGGGAGCATTCCTGCAGGAGCACGCCCTGAAGATGTGCTCCTCCTGTTGCCAACCTATCTTATTTTAGATACTAAGGTGCAGGAGGGCCCAGAAGGACAGAAGGATCTGGCTTCACCACTTTTTCATCCTTTGTGCTGAGGTAAGAGCCCCAAGCTACGACTACAGCCTGGGAGAGGTCTCTAAAATTGCACGTGATGAAATTAGGCCAATATAGCTGCTGCACAGGGATCTGGCAGGGACACAGGAGCAAACAACTGTGTCTCATTTGAAATGGGCCAGAATTTTTGTTGTCAGGACCTGCAGGAAATACAATAACTCACAGGGGATACAACATTTCTGTCTTGCACCATGTGCTGGTTCTGAAGGAATCCCCCAAGCGTGTCCTGCTGCACCTACAAAAGGTGATGGGAGACTCCTCACCATATTTTGACCTTACTGAATTCTGTAGCAAGTGCCTCCCCGCTGCTTGTGATTTCCCTCTGGCCAAGCTCTGACCATTACACATGTAGCAGGAGCCTTTGACAGTAACTTTTTCCAACTTTCTTTTTTGCCGGTGTGTTTGCGTGCACACATGGGTACGCAACATATGCAACATGATCAGACCATTTGCACAGGTGAAAGGGTTAATTCAGTTCACTGTCCATGTGATAGCCCGCACTGATCCCAGTGAACAATTCCCACTACAGAAATGCCAGGCAGCCTCCCATTTTTGGGCTGGGAAAGCCACATTCCTGCTTGAACATAAGCATCTGAACAAAGAGGTTTGTGCCACTTCCCTGCATGGCATGGAAAGCAATCTTTCAGCATGACTGACAGATAAATACGCACTGGATGCCAAAGTCAAAATTTCCCACGTGCTGGTTAACAACCCTCTCTTGTTATTTTTTGCGAGACAAGAACTGGATTAAATCTTTGCAACAAACAATTTAATTGCACCTCAAAGTTCCCCTCAGATCGCTATCTCCTGGGAGCAGATCACACTTTCACCCCTTTGCACTTAGCAGAGAGGGGCTGATTCTGCATCTGGCTTGCTGCTTCAGTCCAAGGCATGACAAATACAAAACGATCTGAGAGAGGGCACAGGTAGCACCCGTTCCCTGCCAAGCAGCAGAAGCAATCTGAGTAGTTTCCTCTGAAGATTATACATGCTCTTATCACCACTGTAAATCCTTCTCTGGTGCAGCCTTTCCCAAGGGTTCAGAGGAGGTGGCACATTCCAACAACACAGTTGCAAACCTTCAGATGTTTCGGAGCAGGAAGACTATTAAAAGTAACTTATCTGATGGGGTTTTGTTCAGTGGGGGAGGCCAGGAGGGTAGGGGAGTTGAAGGCCTTTCCCATTCTCTGCCCTATCTCGCCTCCTTGGAAAGGGCAGCGAGGCTCCATCCCGTCACTGCCTGCGCTGGCTTCGGGGCCACATCCGTGCCAGCCGTGAGCAGCGGGGAGAGAGAGGCTGTTGTGCCATTTACAGTGTAATCCCATGACTGCTGGTGGAAGCTGGTCCCTAGCAAGGTTTCCTACTGCTGCTGCCTGAAACAAGCCTCCTGGCTACTTAAAGAAAACCCCATAACCCAATCTTCAGAGGGAAAGGGGAGTGGATCAGCCTCTGCTTTTTAGCTCTGGGAATGAAGAGCAACACCAGCTTGAAGGTTTCAGGTCTCCTCTGTGCCCACCCTTCCCTTTCAGCCCCTTGTAGCTGGGTGACAGGAGCTGGTATTTTTTTAGCATGTATTGGATCCCTCGTTATTTGGGGTGAATGGGAAGGAGTTGTATTCTACGGAGCCAGAACTGCCAGCAGACTGGCAAGATGGCTTTTGTCTCACTATGAGTGCCAGGAAAACAGGTAAAACATATTTGAGACTCAGAAAATTAACCAAAAGGTAGCTTACACGAAGAGAGCTTGAAGGGAGCAGATACCGTGCCTGAGGCTGAAGGAAGAGGCACCCAGGGCGAGGTCCCTTTGCTGACACTGTCCCACCGGGGCCCGGCGGGAGGAACCAGAGGCAGAGCCAGCTGTAACAGCAGCCACCTCCCCAGCTTACTGATCACACCACCAAGGTCCCGCACCCCCCCTGCTTCAGTTCCCAGCACACACCTCCCAGGGTGCTGCTTAGCTCTCTCCCTCCTAAATTTGGGTCGTGCCCGTTGCACAGAACACCCTTCTGCAGGGCAGTACCAGCGTGACACTGCCAGGCAGGGCGGTGCTGTTGGGCGTACGACGAAAAGTTGCTGGATCTGTCCCGTCTCACCCAGTCCTCCAGCATACCCAGCGCACTGCTGACCTAATGGGTTAAATTCTCACCAAAACATCACGACTCCAAAGCTGCCGCTGTTTGGAAAAACACTTCAAAACCCAGAGCTGACTCCCTCCAAGATTATTCACTGCTTCCAAAGCACATCCAGGCTTCAGGAGGCAGAGCTCGGATGGTTAATGGATGGTGTGCGGGGCGCAGGATTGGCATGTCTGAACGCACACTGCAACATTTCTGGCCGGGATGGGCAGTCTCCCCAGGCACTAAACTAACACCACAGACCAAGTGCAGAAGGCTTTCATGCAGACTAAGATGGTTACGTGCAAAGCGAGAAGGTGAAAGGTCCAAGTACCAGGTCAAAGGTTGCCTCGAGCGGTCGCTTCAGTGATCTGACAGCTGGCTGAGTCTTAATTAGCAGGCAGCGAGCACATGATGGCAATGGGCCAGGGAAGGGGGGTCAAGCACAGTAACAAAAACAGCAAGCAGAGGTGTGTCAAGAGAGAGCAACATTTTGGAGAGGCGAAGAGAAAAAAAATAAAAATAAAAAAAGGTGAAAGCATTATACAATATATTAAAAAGACGAGGCATGCGCAATGGGGGTGGCTGAGTAATTACCTGGCCTGGTGGCTAGTCAGCTGTTTCGCCTCAGTGAGTTTTAAAAGCAATGTCATCGCGGGCCACGTGCTTTGGAGCATCCTCCCCGCGGGGTGAGGAGCGCGCAGGCAGCGGCGCCGGGCTTGCGCGGGGCGTCAGCGTCAGCCCGGGCTCTGCAGCTGCCCGCCGCGCAGGGTCGGCGCCCGCGGCAAGGGGAGGACCCCCGGCCCGGGGGGGCAGGTCGAGCGCACGCCCAGGTGCCGTCCTGACCTGGGGACCGAGCCCGACCCCCTGCATCTGACTGTGCTGCACCGACTTCGGCCAAGCGGCAGCGAGTGAAGCTACTGCTTGTGCACGTCGAGTAACTGCAGGATCGGGTCCCTCAGAAATACCTTCTGAATTTAGATTTGCAGTCCTTCCAAATCTATTCTGGAAGGTACGCCCATTTGTCCGGCGTATGTTTTTTGACCCAAGAAAACTAGGCACCCTTCTTCCCTTTAATAAAAGTCTTATTCCTCAACAGGTACAGTAAACGCATCAAACCTTGAAAAGTCAATGAATAATGTAAGCTGTTTTGGTAGCTGGGGTGATGCAACAAGCCATCAATAAATATTTTAAAGGTTCTAGTTAACAGCATACAAATAAGGTTAATTACATTTTTGAGAGAAGCTAGAAGCATGAATAAAACATGCATTGGCTTTGGTTAAGTAGCAGTGTCCTAGATAATTAGTGAAAAAGTAAAGATTCCATCGTAAAAAACACAAGAGTTTCATTTCAGAAGGTTCTTTTTCAACAGACCTGGGCTGTTGTTTCAACGATAATAAAAATAGTAAGAAATCTAGTAGACACTGCAGGACAAATACTGCAGTATAAATTTGTTCTTCAAATTAAATTCCAGGTGCTGATACTACAAGGAGGCCAGTTGTTTAATTTCTAGAATTGTCCTCGTTTTGCGATATGTTTCATCATGAATGGAAAAGCAACCTCTTTTACTGTTTTTTTTTTAAATGTATTTAGAAAAATTTTAATAGCCTTACTTCTGAATAAAGAAGGCAAGAACGTTTTTAATATTATTAAAAAAAAATAAAAATAAAAATCACAGAACAGGTGAGGTTGGAAGGGACCTCTGGAGATCATCTAGACCAACACCCTGCTCAAAGTAGGGTTAACTAGAGCAGCCAGCTCAGGACTGCCTCCAGGAAGGCTCTGAGTATCTCTGAGGATGGAGCGACCTGTTGCAGTGTTTGATCACCTTCACAGTAAAGAAGTTTTCTCTTATGTTTTTTCTTATGTTTAAATGGAATTTCCCAAATTTCAGTTTGTGCCTCTTGTCATTTCACTAGGCACCATAGAGAAGAGCCTGCCTCTGTCTTCTTTACTTCTCCCATCAGGAGTTTATACACATAGCTGAGATCCCCCTGGGCCTCTTCTAACCTCCCCAGGCTCTCTCATCTCTGGAATAAATAGGTGCCATTACACTGAATTCAGCAGAATGGCAAACATTTATTCCAGCTAGGAATTTTATCTGGAAAGTCTTCCTTGACTCGTTTTCAGAAGTGTAGGTATTAGATAGAAGTCACAGTTCAAATTAAAATGCCGGTGGGACCATCTCTACCAGGTCCAAAGTATCAAAGTGGCCAGGAAGTCACCCTTGGTTTGAGACCTGTCATTTCACAAAGCCTTGGTGAAGGCACCAGGCACATGTCTGCTAAGCTCAGACAGCTGCTATCTTGTCTGCTTTTAAGTCGGTGGAAATTTTGCTACTGACTTCAACAGGCCAGGATCTCCCTGCAGAGGATGTGTTATGGGATGGGCAGTCTTTCCTTTTGTTGTGTACTGAGGAAGCTAAACTGACACCTGTGACATAGCCGGGGAAGGTGTTGGTTCCAAGTGCTGCTGTACTTGCTTATGTCACGTCATGATGCCGTGTCAGAAAATCACAGGGTTCGTCATCGTGTCCCTAACCGGCGAGATGTACCGCGCCACTCAGGGCTTCATGCTGTGGTGAGCACACAGAAAGGATGAAGAAATGGGATTCTTATCGCACATGCTCTCAGCTCTCTAGTCAGCCATTTACAAAGCACTACTTTTCCACAAACACCACATATGACACAAATGACATCTCTTAGCAGTGGAAATACAGCTTGAGAAGAGCTCTACTTACCATTGCAGCTGCAGCTGTCTGGTTCACCTGGTGTTGAGCTGCCTTGATTTTGGCTTGCAGGTGTGCAGGGGGATGAAAGTACTTGCATTTCTCCCTAGAGCATCGACCTTTGATGTAATCCATGCAAACTGTAACAGTATTTTCATTTGTGTCTATCATTGCAATATCTATAGGGTGAGCATAGCGGCAATCATTCTCACCACGTGTGCAATTTCCACGCTGAAACTCTCGACAAACCTTAAAAGAAAGTCACATTATTGAGCAGAACATCAAGTTACTCTTCATTCAGTATTTTCAACACAGAGTATCAGTTCAGTTGGCCACATTAAACCACGTGTGTATACTAAATCCATGCTCATCTTGGGTAGCACATATACCAACAGTCACAGGGGCAACTGGTGCTACTCACAACTGGTTCAGGGTAAGAAAAAACCCACAATGTTATCAAGGCCAACTACCAGATGCAAGTGAAGTACAGAATTTGTTCAGAATGGAAAATGACCCCAGGAAATCAATCTCATTTTGCCAAAACTTTTGGAGCCCAGGATTGCTCCCCTGTCTCTTAAGCTTAAATGTTAATAACTCTGCCATTTGTGTCTCACCTGCATTATGTATTTGTTACGGAGCACACTCTTGGGTAGGACATTTAATTCTAAATGTTGCACGCTGCTGTTATTTGCAATGAGTACCTTTCCTTTAATGTAAGGAGCCTCTTTCACATAATCAGTCTCAGTCTGGCATTACGTGACAGTGCATTTGATTACACTGCAACATGTTCATAAGGTGTTGACAAAATCGCTAGCTTTATGAAGATCTTGCAGATCCTTGTAAGTTAGGAGCACTGAAGCATCAAAGGCAGAGAAAAAGGTTTCACAAAAGGGATCTGCAAGATTTCCTTGTCTGAGAAACTGAGAGAAATTGCTGAGGACTAGAGCTGGTGGTGTAGATCACGTACCAGTGCACCATCAGTCTGACTGTGGGGAAAGGTGAGACGTCAGCAAGGCAATATAAAGCGCATAACTCAAAACAATGTGTTTTGAAATTACACCCTTTTTCACTGCCTTCCTGTGCTATAATTTACACCTGCAGGGGCCTCTGAATTCAGGTCCTCAGCCCTTATCTCCTGCAGAGCCTCTGCTTAGGGTTTGAAAGACATTTGCAACTCCTCCAACACTAAGTCCCAGCGTGCCCAGCCGGCTGGGGGGGGGGGGAAGATGTCTTTCCAGTGTCCCATACTCACCACTCCCAACACTGTAATGCTTAAAGCTTTCTGTAAAAGGTCAATAAGCCCATCTCTAGACAAGAAAAGTGTGTGTTACTTCCAAAATGTCTCCCACTCAACTCAGTGAAAGGGCAGACCATCTACTTGCATTTTTGCAAGTGCGGCAGATCACACACGGCAAACAACAATCCCAGCCCTGCTCTAGCGCCTACTGAAATCAGAAGAGTGAGTGCTCCCAAATTTCCAGTGACTTCCAAGGATTTGGGACCACGCCCCACATGAGAGTCTGCTCAAGCAGAGAGCAGCAGCCCTGTGTTAGGAAAGCTGCAAGTTAAACTCTGCACTGTGCTGCACCGGGTCATTCTAGCAGAGAGCAACGGCTGGGACTGTTCATTCCCACCAGCAGTATCGTATCAGGCGTCCAAATACCTCCAGTTTATCCGTACGCATCAGTTTCTGCCCAGCAGAGCCTCCTGGTACTGTAACAGTAGGATTTCCGGAAACCAGGACAGGAGTATTTGGTAAAAGCTCTGCAGGAACCAAGCCCATCCCAGGAGAAACATGACTCAGGTAGGGACTAAAAGCCATCGTGGGGCTTGTTGCAAGCGATGGAGTCACAGGAAACGTTGTCTGTGTATAAAAAGAGGAAAACCAAAATATTAGTTAAAAAAGCTCTGTCTTGGATACCCATCAAAGCCTTGCATCACTTCAATCTTTTTAGACAATTTGATTAGCAACATCAAAACGCTGTGCTTTCCAATCTACTCATTTATTGCCGTTTACTTGCGATCTATTCGCTTCTCCTCACTCACAGATTTGTGACTCATCGTGAACACAAGGCATCTTTATTTGTCAGATCAAAGCATATTGATGATCTTTATAGTTTAATGACACAATTAAGGATTTCATGCCAGCAATTAGGGCAGGCCCAAATTAAACAGACTTCTCATTCCCAAATAAATGTCTCAGCTTCTAAATGTCTACACTGCAATACTGTACAGAGACCCCAAGGTAAACTGCAGCACCAGAAGCAGGTAACCTCCATGAGCTACATGGTTGAATTCACTATCAGCCTGCACTGAGCTCCACGTTATCATGGCTAGTGTGGCTCAGGTAGACAAAAGGGATCACTTATGAGTCAAGTGAGGCATCTCTGCTACAGTATGCTTGGAGGTCTAGCATTCTGCACATCAGTGGTTTGTTTCAGACTGCCAACAGCTGCTGAGCAAAAGCCATTTTGCAGGAGTATCCTGATGCTCCACGTGAATGGCAGCAAGAGGACACCAAACTCACTTGTATCACAGCGTGACAGACCTCGTGGCTGTGGCAAGAGCAGGTGGGTCATGGGCTTGGAAGAGCCATGGACAAAGTGTACCAGATGAGATGGCTCAGGTGGGCCAGCACAAGGTCCAGGACCCCACCTGTGCTGCAAGGAGCAGTGTTCCCATGAGGAGACAGAATAACGGGCCGTAAAGATCTTGACTGCTTCAGGTCCCTCAACTGCATCAGGCAGGCAGGTTCTCCAAGCGCAGCAGAGCCCCAGCGCCGGTGGCCAGAGCCACTTCCCTGGCATGAACTGCTCCAGCAGTGCTGGTCTGGGAAAGGAGCTGCCCTTCTGCCAGGGAGGCGAGATCACACCAAGCTCCCGAGCAGCTGCTCGGTTTAAAGTCTGTGAATAGCCCCTACAGCCAGGCAGCTTGTCTGATTTTTAAGGCACCGGATCCGAGGTGCATTTGGGAACGCAACCAATTCCAGCTGATGGAAAAATCCCCCCTGCTCACCCCAAAGACCAGAGCCTGCAAGGCAGCACTCCTGCTCCTGCAGCAGGGGCTCGCGCAACCCCCAGGGGAAGCAGCCTGCGGCTTGTAACCGTTTTTATTTTCCCCTCTGTCACCTGCTCCACTGTGAACTCTGGGTTATAGTTAAAGCTGTTCATGTTTACAGGCATATGTGATGCTGTCCTCGGTGGCTAAAACCTCTACTTGGCAATAAATACAAGCGTGCTTACAGAATGGCCTGGGGCATTTTTCTGGCCACACACATCATCCCCTCCTTGCGTTTATTTTGGCACTTCTAGTCCTGTGGGCTTTTAAAAGGAGCTATATGTAGACAGTGTCTTTCTCGAGAGCATCTTCATCCCAGTACCTTCATACAGCAGGAAACACTTTGCCTGTTGCGATCTGGAGGAAGCTGGCCCACAGTAACACCAGCCAAGCTGCCCTAACCTATCTTTAGCTTAATGATGCCCCCTTCCTAAGGCCAGAGGGACAGCGGGCAGCTCCTGTGCTGATGGGAAAGGGGATGACAGGTCACTGCCAGCATACGTCCAGCTTTCTCTTCCTCAGCAAGGAGACACAGCCTTCTGAGTCAGCAGTGCTGGGTGCTTTAAGTGCAGCAGAACCAAATAATCCTCTCTCTGGGAGGGATTTCCAATCTTCCTTCGTTTGAGCCTGAGTCGAATCCCGCTTCAGCTGATGGGAGACTTTAACCATTAAGCCCAGAGATCCCCCAGTCCATGGCCCTTTATTAAATCATTTTCTTCTCCCTTTCAATTCTCTGTGGCTCCCAGACATTTTACACCTTTTGCTGCTAGAAAAGCTCTTTCAGGATCTTCAAATGCTGTAACTCCCTGAACGCTTTAGTGAGAAGGCAGCATCCATTAGACTGTTTTCTTTTGTGTGAGTACCAGTAATTACAGTGGCATCTGCTGAACTTCTGTCACCATTTGCGCTATAAATGCTACTTGAAGGAGCTTCTCCAGCCTGGCCAGGCTGCACAGGGTTACGTTGGGGCCTGACATGTTGTCAGCACTTGTTTTACATACCCATAGTAGCCCAAACCTTGCAGCACACGTGGCTTGCATGAATGTGTGGGCAAATCTACTTCACGTTTTTCCAGCACCTAACAGAGCAGTCTTGGGAATCCTGAGGCAGCAGGTGTGGCACAGACATTGCTCCAAAATATCAGCAGATCCTTTAAGGCAGGCTTCCCCTGCCTGGGCTTGAACAGAACGAGGAGCCAGCCCAAGGACTTAAAGGGTTTCTGAGATGGAGGGGAAATGCTCCTCCCATTGCTCAGGCAGAGGATGCCAGGACATTTGTGCAGCCAGGGAGGAAGGCTGGGGGCTCACAGTGCCTCACACTGAGTAAATCCACCAGAAACTGGTGGGAATGGATGTGAAACGTTAATGAAGAGATGACATGAGAGCTTCTCCACCAAAGCCACTACAAACTGGGGGGCGGGTTCTGCTCCCTGAAACACAGTCCCCATCTCTAAGGCCATTCCTCAAAAGCAGCCCCTCTCCTCACTGGGAGCAATTAGCAAGGGCTAATGGATCCAAATCCAAGCTGAAGCAAGCGGAGGAAAGATGTCCATGAGGAACAATTGAGGAGTGTGATCTACTCATGATCCCGGACACCTGCAAGAGGGTGGCGTGAAGGAGCAGGATGGGTTTTTATCACTGCTGCTGGTTGTTCACCCATTTCCATGCCCTGGCATCTGGTTTCTGCGTTCCCAAGGTTTCACAACCACTTCTGCCCGCCCGAACCGTGCACCCGGTGCCGCTGACTGAAAGCGAGAGCTCTGCTCCCCACCCTGCCCGCGGGCAGGGACTGACACCCGGCACCCAGGCAGGCGTTCCCAGCGGATGCACAGCCAGAGAACAAGCAGATCTCACTCAACACAGTAAGTCTGGAAGTGCTGGGGGTTTAAGTCTGAACTGTGCTAAACGCACTGAAAACTGCTCCTTTGTAAGCTGGCATCAGGGAGCTCTGTATTTATTGTGGCTGATGAGGGGAAAAGATGGGCTGCACTCATTGCCAGCCCTGACTGCCTGTCTTGGATTGGGAAATCCAGTCTGGCTCATGCATCAGTACCAGTAATAAAAATGCTGCCAGCCAAGTCTCTCCTCCCTTTACGTCTGTGCAGGTCCCCCGTGCCAGGCCTGTCCTGAGGGAATTCAGGCAAGTTTCCTCCTTGCAGCCAGAACCCAACTGTAATTTTTACTCCAAACAGCACTGCTCCCCTCAACATGCCTTCCATCTACCTCTTGTGATTGCACTCAGCCAGGAGACCTGACAGATCAATATTATGACTATACACTAAAAAAAAAAAAAAAAAAAAGTCTCAGTTTAGTTGGTGGTGTGTTCTAGGGCAAAACAGAGAGATTGAAAGTATCACCACCTACCCCTGCTGTCCCCCTTAAAGCTCTTGCAAATGCAGGAAAAACAGGGGCAGGTTTCCTTGCAAACTGTTATTAACAGTAACATATGCAGACACTGTCAAATAACTCCTGAGCAGAGGAAAACAGGCTACAGTGCAGCGGCAAAGGGGTTCAGACTGGTAGCAGCTCACAAGACTGGTTTACCGAGTATTAAAATGTTTGTAAGAATCAGAATAATCATAAAAAAAAATGCAGCTGAAATGGTTGTTGTGAGAACACATCTCGGGGGGAAGGCTACCGGGGACTTCAACAGCTCTGAGCTCCTCACAGACCCCGAGCATAGGAGCTGTTGGGTTGAAGGTGTGAGCAGAGAGAAGGAACAGTCCCAGGGAGGGGCATTTGTCACCACTGGTGGTGACAGAACCTGGAACAGCTGATTTTGTTAACAAACTAGAAGTTGCATTCAATTTGCCTAGCAGAAATTGTGCTAAAGCTAGAGAAGAAACACAGAGTGGGTGTGAAGAGGAAGGCAGAGGAGCGGCTGGTGTTTTGTCGAACACAAATGCTGTCTCAGCTGGGAAGTGTTGATTCTGAGTTACCTCAGACCCTAAAAAGGGAAAGCTTGAAATGAGACCACCAGTATAAATACAGAGGTGTTGATGGCCTAAAGGAGAGGAGACAGGTCACTGATAAGCAGCAACACACGGAAAGCACACAAAAAACAGTGGAAGCTTTTATTAGTCTGGTGACAGGAACATAAAAGATAAGATGTTGTTCTGACAAGGCTGAAGACCCTGATATTGAAAACATAATTGATGCACAGAAAAAAAAGCAAAAACCTGTGTTCCCCTCCAATGCAACTGCATGGGCCTGGCTGTAAAACCATCCCTCTAACGTGATGGCTGAGCAAGCTGGAGTGAATCCAACCAGCCAAAGCATCCAGCTACCTACTACCACAGATGCTCGTTTCCCCAATCAGACCACAAAGACCCACTCCTCACTCAAAGGAGATCTCATTTATGGGCTGCTGGAGTGTAGGAGTCAGGTGTTAACGCCCCACAGCACTCTTGGCAGTCACCAGCTCCCGGGTGGGCCAGGGTACGCATGCGTATTCATTCCCACTCTGCCTTTGCCTAGAAGCTGAGATACAGATCAAGGTTTTGCTGCATGGAACAAATGCATGCCCAAAACACCTGCTGAAATCTGCTCCAGCACTTGTTCCAAGCATCACTGGCCAAGCAAGTTATGCTTTAACCCTTTCATCAGCACCAAGGGGGGGGCAGCAGGGTCCCAGTGCCCCAGGAGAGGACGTGGGGCTGGGTTGAAGCTTGGGTTGTCTTCAGGGTCATGGGTGACTCAGAGCTGTCAAGACAGTCTCGGCTAAAGAGACCTTGACAGGAATAAAAGATGAAGAGCTTGAAAACAAAGAGAGCTCAGAGGGGGGAAACAACTTTGCAGGGCAGCAGCAGAGGCAGCTGCAGGCACAAAACCAGCCCAGAGAGCTTCCAGAACAGCTCAACCTAAGCCAGCAGTCACGGTCAATCTGGACTTTCAAAAGTCAAACCTTCAGTAAAGCCTTCTTACTTGGCACCTACATGGTCTCTCCGAGGTGTCTCCCAGAGAAATACACCATGTTGTGGAAACAGTCAGCTCCATGTCCTTGCCTGACTTGTTTTAAAGCGCTGTATGAAGCAGTTTGTTTAAAACTGAATCATGGGCACCAAACATTCATGTGATTCTCAGCTTTGCACAAATGGTTAGCAGCAACATCAGAGAACCACCAGAGACTTCAGAGAAATAAGCTCACACTAGCAACCGTTAATTCACACCTAGTAGGCTTCCATGAGCAGCAGGCATCCCACCTGGGACACGGCTCTTCTCCAAGCAGCACCTCCATTAAACAGCCAGCATCAGGGTCCTGGCTCTTGGTTCATCAGGAAGATTAGCTCTTGCTGCATGTCAGCAGTGGTACAAGAAAATGTGGCAGTGAATGTTTAGATGCAAGCTCACAGACAGACACACCCAATGCCATTTCAGGAAGCATGGTGAAAAGCTGCTATGTCAGTGCTGTTTTTTTGTTTGCTTGTGGGTTTGGTTTTTTTTTTTTTTTTTTTTTTAATATGGTAGCTTTTCTGGTGAAAATGCACTTTAAAATGTCTAAGCATTCAGCTATTGTTTGGACCTATTAAGCACTCTGTTCCCAATCTCCTCTCTGGCAAGCATCCCAATTAAGCAGGCATCCCGTTGATCAGCTTTCTGATCACATGGGATTTGTTCCGCCGCTGCATCTGATATAATACTTTCTGCTTTGAAGAATTTCATGTGTATCCAGAAGGAGGCCCCACCCTTCTCATTTAAAGACAGAAAGAATTCTCAAAGCCTGCTTCCACTGGCAGCATCTTCAGGAAATCAAAGGCAGGTGAAAGAGCAATCTCTTGTTTGTCCTGAAATTGGTGTGGAGCAAGCTGGGCAGCAGGAATTAGACCAAGAGCTCGTTTGCTCTGAGCAAAGTGTGGGAAAGCAGGAACGGAGCAGTCATTGCAGAACAATATTTTATTTTTCTTCTTTGCCCATGTCTCTCTCGTGGCACAATTTAGAAACCAGGGACCTTTCTCATCAGATAAGGTTAGCTCTGAAATGAGAGCACTAACCAGACAAACCATCAGATTCGGTCTCAGAGGCAATTTAAAAGGCAGAAGTGGAATTGCAGGAGGAGCGAACTGGACCTGCTAGACTGCAAAATGGGAAGATGGGAACTTTCCAAAGAGGAAATCCCAAAGATGTTTTGAACAGCCAGTCACTGTGAATTCCCCACAGAGGAAAGCCCCAAACAGGAAAGGTTTGCTTTTGGTACAGGGCTAGGAAACCAGTGCTACCATTTTGTGGGAATTCAGGATTTCCTTCTCATGCTCACATATTTCCATGAAAAGTGAACTCCACAAAAAGGGGTGCAAAGATTACAGCAGATTAGAGTTTAAGGTGCAAAGCAACTAAATAATTCTGTGGCTCATTTTCTCATCTGCTTCACTTTTCCATCTTCGAAATGGGAAGAATAAACAGCATTTCCCTAGCTTACATGGCAGGGTGGAGATAAAGCTGCTAACACACACGCAGGATGGTCGGAATGAGGGTGTGCATGGAAGAGCCTTTACAAGACAGGAGGAACACACCAGACTGGGGAAATGCCACCGTGCGGTGGCAGAGAGCACCATCATGGAGGGACACTGGCCAGTTTTCCCTCCTCAAACACAGAATCATTGCAAGCTCTTACACCAAACAGCACAACAGCATCCAGCACCAGTCTCTTGTGAGGATAAAGCAGAGACTCTCCAGCTTGTCAAAGCTGAGATGACAGCTGCTGAGTCTGAAGCCTCATTCGGGCAGGGAAGCTGTAGGTGGGACAGCAAGAGGCCAAGTGCAGGTGGGTTCAGAGACTTGCACATCTTCAGGCTGGAAGAGCCTGTCCGAGGGGTCCAGCCAGACCTCCCGTGTGGCGCAGCACAGGGAACCTCACCCAACAACTGCACATCAAGTGCACATCACCCCAGGAAAGACATTCCTAAAAGAGAATTCCTAATTAGGCTCTTTGTTAAAAACTCGAAGCTTGTTTATGTCAGCACCAAAGAGGTGCTTCAAGACCTCTGACATTTCTTAAAATATGCATGGCGACAGACTCAAACTCAGCTGATAAGTATCACCCCATCCCAGATACACCAGCCAGCAGACACAAAAGCCATCCTCTCCCTGGAACAACAGGGTTCTCCAGCCTGAAAACCTGTTTTAACCAATAGGCTACAGCAAGGACAGGCTGTAAAGGTTTCTCTGAACTACCTGCTCTGCAAACACCCATCTCCCACAGGCTTCCCTCCCTACTTGAAGAAAAGCAAATCATTCCTGATGTTAGTATAAAACAGCATTAATCTGAAAAACAAGTGACAGGGCTGTGACATTAGCACAACTCTCTGCTGGGACAACTGCAGTGAAATGGGTCTCAGCCCCAGGCATAAAAATATATTAAGGTCACCTTCCCCAGTTTTAGCCCACCAGTACAATGCATCTAGTCCAGGGAGTCAACTAGCCTCTTGCTACAGCATGGAAGAACTCCAGCATCCTCACCCCAGTGTAAAACAGCTATCCAAAATAAGATCCATTGGAATTGAGCCACTCGGGACTTCTGGGATGTGCGTGAATTAACTGGTCAAATAACCACCTGGTGGTAAAACCCTTCTCACTCGGTGCCCTGAATCTCACAGCTCCTCGGTTGTCAGAGGAAAGGGGAGCCACAGCTTGCAAGGAGATGCAGAGGTAGCATCAGACATCCCTCTGGAAGATGCAGCACGAACAGCCACCTGAGCAAAAGCACGGGGCTGGGGCCTCTGTGAGCAAACACGAAAGAAGGACGGAGCAGCGCGCCGCCGATTCACTTGCTGTAACTTACAATTGGCTGTAGCTGCGCGCCCGGTAGCATGAACTGCATTTGCTGAGCAAACATGGCTGCGGCGGTCTTCTGCTGGATCAGGTTGTTGCGTCCATTTATTTCAAGTTGTGTTTTTAAGTGCGGGGGAGGGTGGAGATATTTGCAGTTCTCTCGGGTACACCGGCCCTAAAAAACATAATGAAACAGCACTTCAGTGAATGTAACACTCAGGGCAGCCAGAAAAAATTTAATTAAGGATTGTTTGGGTTACTGTAACACCACAATCAGTTAGGCAGAGGCAGTTTGGTAACTGCTGTGCCTCTTTTGTGATTTTTCTATAGAAGTGCAATACTTCGGTGAAGAGAAGAGCAACATGACTTCTCCTGCTGTAACACTAACTGGATACTGTCAAGCTAAACCCAAAAGTTAGGCTTTCTGATGTTAAAATGATTGCTGCAAAAAAAGAAAAAAGTCTAACACAAATACCGGTATTTTCAAAAGTTAGTGGCAACAGCTCCAGAAGCAACAAGAAAAATTCCCCGCTTTCTTCTGTGGGTTGTTTTTCAACTCCCTCCCAGCACCAGACACTTAATTGGCCCTGACAACCAGACAGCGAGAAACAAAACTGTCTCCACCACTTCCCCAGCTGCACTGGGCAAAACATTAAGATGACAGCTATGTAAAGCAGCACCTCTGATCTTCACATGCATGTAGTGAGATGCTGAGAACTGGTAGGCACAACTGGAGGAAGAATTGAAACAATTTCCTCTTCACACTCTCATCTGTCAAAAGCCACAGTATGCTGCATCACTGACCACTTCCTCCCTCACCCTCCCAGTTAAACAGAAGCACTAGGGAAGCCAGCGGCTCCTAAAATGCAAAGGATCACTAATGTTACAGATCACCTCAAATCAACAACTGTAATTAAAAAAAAAAAAAAAAAAATGTATAAACCGTGCCTTGCTTTAATAGTGTTTGCAAGTATATGAAGATAAATACCAAGTCCACTGAACATAGAAAACTAATAAAGAATTTTGTCATCAAGATGAAATAATTCTTGGAAATATTTTTCCCTCCCCCCCCCTTCTCTGTGTACTCGCTCCTCAAGAAAGAGAGGCATACAGAATACAAGAAACATTTTATGCAACTTTATGCATAAGTTTTATAAATAACTTATGGTGAATTTTTTTGAGGAAGTAATTCTACTGTAGCTATTCGAGCCTAATAAAACAAGTCCAGGCCTGGGGACCACAGAGCTGTTACATGACAGATAACTAATAATTGTTCCGGCAGCAGCAAAGGAGCAGGATCATCCATTACCCAGCCCGTCCCTGGCACTCTTATCAAGGGCTGGACACCGAGCTCTCAGTCTCAGTGTAATTAAGTTTGCTTTCAAAAAAGGGGGACGTCGGGTGACCCCACATACCTGTTCCTGTCGGCAGGATCACACACGGCAGAGCTGTAACCCCACAACCAGGTCCACACGGCTACACCCATTACACACCACTGCACCCAAGGTACACACTGGTGGAAACCCCTGGGATGGGCCCCTGCCTGCATCCAGGATGCTCCCCTGGGGATTTTTAAGATCTGTCTCTGCCTGTACAAATGTATGGGTGGAATCACTGGACAGCCTGGGTACCACTTCACAAAGTCGACACAGTGACCCAGCTGCAGGGGCTGCTTTTGAGCCCCCAGCCAGGCTCCTCGGCGTGCCAAGAGAGAGGCAGGTCACTGAAGAGCAGCCAAAGATCTGCAAGCTTTATGCATGCTTTCCTCTGTGCCCTTCCCTGCTGGGGATAATGGTTTCACTGGGGAAAGGGCTGCAGAGCCCGTCTGTGGCGTGAAAGGGGCTGTACGACAGAGTGTCATGAGAAGCAGGCTTCCCTCTTATCTGCTCCAAGGAGATCAGTGTTAAACAAAACTCCTGGCTCCCTGCTGTTATTTAGAGACAAATAACTCAATGCAAGAAGAGATGGGATAAACCCGATGGGGAGGCAAAAACACTTTCAAACTTCAGCAGCCTGCTTTTGCAGAGTGAAACTTGCTGCCTCGCTCCTAGATGAGCCCTGTAGCTCCCAACGACCAACTCAAAAAGAAAGAGGCTTGTTAATGCTTTGGCTTCTCAGAAACTCAACAGCCCCAGATCCCCAGCAGCAAGTTAATTGCTCATAGGCTCCAGGATATGAATCTTCATCACCAGACACTTTCCTACATCTGCGTAAAGTGAGGGGAAAATGGCACCGTGCAGCCAGCCGGTCTCAGACAACCCAGCATTACCACAAGGTAAATAAATACCTGCATTAATTGGGAAGGAGAAGGAGAGTCATCAGCACTAGATACGTCTGGATTATCCCTTTCAGGGCATCTTCCCAGCTGCACGGGACCAGGTCCCTCCACAGCCTTTCCCTCACCTGGGGCCCAACGAGAGCCCAGCATTCAGGTGTTCCACCTCCACAACTTCTGGGGGGCTGCTCAGGCTGCTGCAGAGCAGGAGCAGATGCCACAGAGCTGCAGGCTGTCAATGGCCAGGCAGCTGCTCTATCCTCAGCTCCAGCCTTCGAGGGCTTACACATCAGCCTTAGAAATTCCTCCTGGTTGAAACTCGGCACAAGTGTTTGGGTTGGGAAAACACTAATTTCTACCAAATTTGGAATAAAGCTGTATAGATGGTTCTACACTGTAGGAATGGAGAAGATGAAAAAGCTGCTATTTTTGTAAACAATACTTACAGGGCCATCTTCAACTCAAAAAGGGCTTTGCTATTCCAACTGAAATTTTGTATGTCATTGATACCAGTCACCCCAGCTTGGTGTGAAGCTTTGTTCTACTTTTTTCTCAAAACAGTTTGTTTAATTCCAACAGGGGGTTCTACAAACAGAATGTTTTTATTGAAAAAAAAAAAAATACCAAAACCAAAACAACCCAACCCAACCAACCAAAAAAAAAAAAAACAACCAAACCAAAAAAAACCAAAACCAAACAAACAAAAAAAACCCCAACATACAGCACAAAGCCTTGATCCTGAAGACAGAGCTGTGACCAGCAATCAGTGCCCGCACAGAGTGCTACTGATTTCCGTGAGCACATCTATTTGCAGGGAACTGAGCTGTGCAGATGTGCTGCAGAGCGAAGGCTGTGAAGTGCAAGATGGCTGTCAGGCCTTCCAGGGCTGCAGGAAGAGTAAATGAATCACCGCTGAACTCCGATTGAAAACCACACCTTCAGCCTAGCTCCTCCTCACCATCATTTTGATCCTGAGCACCACAAACCACTGCGTTTCACCAGGACAGGTTAGAAGCTGCTGCTGAGTCAGGTCACCCTCTCCAACACCACAGCAGGTTCTTCATCTCTCAGACAATGAATTTTAGTAACTGGTGATGTGAGTGAGAGTGATATAAAATGTTCCCAGTTTAGACATCCAGCTCCGAAACAACTTTCAAGATGTCTAGCTCTAAAGTGCTGGGCACCTCTAGCATACTCTGAATTCCAGCACTGGTAGGGGTGATCCCTTCTTCTACACTTCCATCACAACACCCACAGTTCTCAGTATTTCTCAGCACCCCGTATGCTCTTCAAGACCTATTTCAGCCATCAGAAGGACAGAGAAACTGCCATTATTCACTTCTCAGTACCAGCTGCAACACAGCAGGGAAAACAACAGGGAACTGGTAGCAAATCTGCCGTGTGGATACAGGGCTGGGGACAAATAAGGACAACTCCATTTTATACCTGGCTGGCCTAGGAATACAATATGAGAAAATACAACAGGAGTCAGGCCCCTAAGTTTCAGATGACATCTTTATGCTAAAAGGTGCAGTTTTGCTGCAGTGACACGCCGTGGCTCCAGCACACTGAGTGCTCAGCACAGGGCAGGGGACAGTCCCAGTGCCCTTCACAGAGACCTGCTGAGACGCTCTCCAAGCTGAGCACTGCACCAAAAAGCACCACCCCAGCACTTGCAGCGGGTCGCTGCATGCGTCGGGAAGGAGCAGGGTGCTCAAACTGACCTGTGTCAGCAAACAGCGCGCTCTGAGCCTGCTGGGACCAGTGCCACCGTCCTGCTGTAACTGGAGAAGTTTGTCACTGTTAATTTAGGATGAGTACTGACTCCAGGGAAGGCGCATTCCCACCCTGTCCCTGGTGGCACGTGAGCCTGCAGCCAGGGAATCACCACCCAGCAACAGACTCTGCTGCTGGCCTTGGTAACATGCTAAATATAGCTGTATTTTCTGGCTCCTTGCAAAATGGAAGGAGTCAGAGGGACCATATTCATCAGCTTCTTTGCCAACTTCAGCCAGGAGGGAAAAGCATATGGAGTGCACTTCACAAGTCTTGAAAAATTGATATTAAAAATAAATCATTAAAAGATTTTATAAGAGTATCTTCTCCCCCTTTCTTCTCACACACTCCCCCACCCTTACAGTAGGCTGCTGGCATGTGATTGACTCTGTGTTGCCAACTTAAAGTCATGCTGTGATGGTGCATACTGTAAGTGGCTGGCATCTGACACCAGCTAACATGACAGCAGCTTGCAGTGCAACAAAGCCAGCGGTTTCAAGTGCAGCACTGATGGCAGCACACTTAAACCCAGTAGAAAAACCTGCATTACACCTGGCTGCTTGGAGTCCGCCGGGCTGCACCTTGTCATCTGCGTCCTAGCTCAGAGGGATGCAAATAAGAGGACGCTGGGTACTGCACCAGGCTGGATGAACCTACCCCTAAGCATGCTGCACGAATTCTCTTCTCCTGGCTGTTGAAGTGGAGCTGGGCTGTGCTGCAGAAACAAGACTTCCAGCACAAACCCAAGGCTTGCTCACGTTTGCACCAGTAATGCAGTTTGTTACAGTCTCTTTAATCCTGGACACCAGTGAGGGGTTCCAGAGCAAACACATGCTTTTGATTTTAATGACTGCACTGTATGTCCCGTCAATCACCAGCAGCTCTTATCTGAAAATCTTTAAGCTAATGTTGCTTTTCACACACTGGAGGCTGCAGTAGGCTTGTGCCCCGACTGTGCTGTCTTTTCCACAGACACTGATGACATGTGCGATGACTGACAGCAAAAAGAATGAGAAGAGACCAGACAGGAAAGGATTTCCATGTTTTGCACAAAACCAGGCACCAAAACACAGCTTGTCTACATAACTTTTCCCTGCATGAAGCAGCAGATTTCCACCCCCCCAGGAGGAACTCAGTGGGGAGGCACATTTAGAGACGTGCTGGCCCCGCTTACTCAGTGCCTGTCGCTCCAGCACTGAGGCACAAAATGCTCTCTCTCTGCTTTCCATCCCACTCAGCACATGCACACAGAGGCCTCCTCCTGGCCGGGGATCCTCGCTCCTGCCAGAGCCTTGGCATGGCTTTCACATACCCAACACAACCTCAGCCACCACGGTGTGTGCCCCCGCATCTGGAGGGCGGGCAGAGACCAGGCTGCAGAACTGCCCACAAAGCGGGAATTGCCCCGCAGCAGCGGGAGGCAGGAGGGGGGAGCTCTGGGCTCCGTCCCTGGGTCTGTGCAGCACAGCTAAGAACATGTACTGAGCAGCAGATGCTGCTCCGGGTCTACCCCTACTGCCATCTGCTCTCTTAAGAAAAGAGATACCAGGAGGCAGACTTGGTAGCGAGCAATGTCCAAGCTCCAAGTCCCTCGCCCACCCTATATGGGTCTCGCAGCTTCAAAGTTACCCTTTCCAGGAAAGGAAACCACCAGGGTGTTGGGAACACTGTCCATCCACCTCTCCAACTCATGGGCTTTGTGCTCGCTAAGGTTTGCCCCTAAGCAATTTGCTGAGCAACTGCCATGCTGGCTGGATTACCCGTCCCATCCTGCTGTCCCCAGTGCGTTGCATCACACTCCTCTTTCCGCCAAGGTAGAGCGAGCGCTGTGCTGTAGGGATGGCTGTCCATCTCACTGCTGGAGCAGACACCACCTGCTCGGCAAACAATGTCAAATAGCGTGGAAATAGCATGTTTTCAACTGGAAAACAACGGAGGCTGGAGCCTGATCATTAGCTAGTGTTACACCTTACAGATAGTTGTTCATGCAGCCAAGCTGTCACTCGCTGCAATTCAAAGCCTAGCTCTGTACATACCTTATCTGCAAATCCTTTCTACAGGCTAATGAAATGTTAAGACTTATGCTGCCAACCGAGCCAGTGAGAAATACAACCTTGCAACCTCCCTTGAACATTGACCCTGGCACAGTACATCAGATAACTTCTGCTTAATAGCAATGTTTTTCTCCCTGCATTGCTGGAGCAGCTCACTTTTACAGAGAGGTTTTAAAGTACAATTATGTACAAAGCACTCCCCAGATGTGCTCTCAAGGAAGGCTGTTAGCCCACCTACAAGGATCCTAAAAAGCAGATCTAAAAGGATGTAGAGAAGTGACACATCACCCCTAGGCCTACACAGATCAACTTCACCTATTTTGTTTGTACCTATTACTTGTGTATTTCCCAGACAAGGGACTCCAACACATCACTCTCCCGGCAGCTGTAAGGCTTTTCTTGATTCTCAGCTGCAGTTTTGCTCGACCTGCAACCAAAGCCTAAAACTTGTCTTACCCCAGAGGGCCAGAACAGGAATTATTCCCTTCCTCTGAGGAAGGGCCCATACTTAAATGCTGCAGACACACCTATCCGCCTTCCCCAAACCTCTCTGCTCTAGGCAAGCCATGCTCTTTCAGCTTCGTGAGCGTGGTCCCCGAGCCTTTCGTTAGGCTGCTCCCCCCGTCAGCCTGCACCCTTGCCGCCGTGTGCGTGCACTGGGCACTGTGCTCAAGGCTAAACCCTTACCAGTGCTGTGCAGGGATAAAGATTTTTTTCACGTCCTGCAGATGACACTGCTGCTTATACATCCTGCGTGACATTTTTTTTTTTCCTTCTAACAACGTTAACTTTTTTGATTCGCTCTCAATAAGCTTTTTCCAGAACTACTGCCTACCCAGCATCCTGTATCATGCAGCTGATTCACTTAAACGCAGTATTTTGTACTGCTTTTATTGAACTCACACCCCCTTTTTATGGACTATTTTTCCAACCTGTCAAGACTGCAACTCCACATCTGGCTCCCTAAAGTGCCTGTAGTTCCTCCCAGCTCAGAGCACCCTACCAATTTAACAAGCATACTCTCTATTCCATCATTCAAGTCATCAGAACAAAACAAAACTGAACAGTCTTACCAAGCACATCCTTCCAGACTGCCACTGAACTTGGTTTTCAAAGCTGTTGTGGCTTGTCACATAAAAGTTTCTCCAATGATTTGTTCCCTGCCTTGTTCGGAAACTGTTTTGTGCCACGTCAGTGACTCCCAAATCAACTGCTAGCACTCCATCTCTCTGAAGCAACCCATCTCAAAGGTTTCCAGTTCTACTGCTTTTTCTGCTCCTCTCTGGACACCTGTAGGGATGCTGGAGGGTTAGTGCTCTGTGAAAGCACTTGCCATTGAGCAGGCATTTGCACACAGTGTTGTGTACAAAGAAGCTGGTGGTCTGAAGTTACTTGTAACAGCAATTAAAACAAAACAAAACAGCACAGCTAGTTGCTGATATTTTTCAAATGCAGGTGTAACACCCATTTACAGAGAGCCCAAAGACTGCTGTTATAGCGTGGATCCTGCTGTGAACAGATCATAGCTGAAACTTAAAAGCAAAACTTATCTTCTAGTTAGCATTACCAGATGGCAATCAGCCTCGAAGGGAAGGGAAGCAATGCAGACTTTCTATCATACAGAAGTTTCAATTTCAATGCATGTGGATAAAAGTGCTAGAGTTAGGTTAATCTGGTAGCTCCCAGGTATGGATGATATAGACCTGTGAAATGCATGCTCTAGCTAGGAACAAGTACGGTTCATGAATACATAATCTGCTGGAAATAGGATTCAAACAGCCCATGGAAAGCACAAACTACAGTTTTGCAACATCTCTAGGATGAGCTTTGCCTAACTTCACTGCACTTCCCACCTCTGGGTCCAAAGAGCCACCTCCCTGAGCCTGCAGAGACAGATACGAAAACTTCTAAAAAAACCACCCCAGATGTTATTTTGGTGCAACTCAGCTCCCCTGCAGCCGCTCGGAAAACCTCTTCAGATTTTATACTGTTTTAAACAATGGTCTGAGCTGCAGCAGCAGCGTGCCAGCTCTGACCCAGGGCTGCTCAGGCGAACAGGGACATGCCTTTTGTCCGGGTACAAGAGTCAGACCTGCCTTCCACACAAGCTTCAGTGGAAAAACCTGAATATCTATCGCAAGCTCCCAGGGCTACCAACACTCCCAGCACTCTCAAGGTAGCCTCAGCTTGCCACTGAAACAGCGACTGAATTTCATGTCTTCAATGAATGTCAGGTCAAGCCCTTTCTGAGCAAGCCTAGACTTGATTTTGACTGGAATGAGTGAACCTTGATGTTTTGCAAGATTTCAAATGAAAGCAGGTGACATTCCGCAGCTACAACAAGAGTTTTGGGTCCTTTTGAACGGAGAACTCAAACTGAGCTCAGTGGCACGTGCGAGTGCAAGGCAGCTAGAAAGCCCTCGGAGCAAAGCAAGCAGACCGCTCTGTTCGCCCCACTGAAGTGGGGCTGGCACGTATTGCACCGGCCCAGGCTGCCCAGTTCTCCTCTCCCTGCAGCTGTGGGGCAAAGCCCTGGGAGGCCAACCAGAAGGAAACAGGTAACTGCAGGTGTGTGGGCTTAAAAAAAAAGCGAAGCTATATTCCTCTGCAACTTTAAAAAAGCAGGTCAGACAAACACAGCCACTTCAGTCCAGGTAGGGTCTAACCCCCTTCCCATTCAGTGAGTTAGAAAAACGCAGAAGGAATGGGAAGCAGAGACAAAATGTGTGGCTCTAGGACACTGGTGCTGCTCTTCAGCCTCCCCATCTCACCCGTGTGACTCCTCTGCTGGGATATTTTTGCTTTACAGGGAGATGGAAGGAAGGACAGGAGGAAGAAAAACGTCAGCATCATTTTTGCAAATGTATTTGAGTCCAGACAAAAGCTGCCAACAGCCAGCTGAGGGGACTGCTGAACAAACACTGCTAGAGACCTGTAACACCTCCATCTCTTTGTCATTCCAGCCTGTATCTATGAAAGCCAACCTCTATCACAGACACAAACCAGGGCTGAAGAGGCTGTGCCCCTATGTGCCACTGGCTCAGGGGAATACGCTGTGCTGAAGCCCTTTCCCCCATCACAGGACCGGAAAGCAAGCTGTCCCTTGCCACCAGACACACACCCGCTGTGGCATGTGGCCAAGCTGAAGGGCTTTGGTCATCTACCTATTGTACAACTGGACAGGTTGCCATCGATAGGCATGTCAGGAACAGAAGCACTTTGCCCAAGTAGGGGACATGCTTCCCATCGTGTGGCACAAAACAGTTTAGCAGCCAAATAATTTCACCAGTATATTAAAAAAAAAAAAAAAAAAAAAAGGCAAAAAAAAAGCAGGCAGTATATTGAGCACACAACATTGCTTCACTCGCGCCAGGGTAAGAGTCATCAGATGCAAATGCTGGGAACAAACATGCACAGTGTGGACAAATCCTCCTGCAGATGCCAGTCCTTTCAAATAAAGTGTATAAAACTGCAAAGCGCTTGGACAGGGGGTTTCTCAATATCAGATGCACTCTGCTGGGATTCAAACATGCTTATCTAGGACTCTTACAAAGTCTGCAGCCTCAAAACGTTTGTCAAGCTTGTTTTTGTTATACAGCTCAAACCAGAGCAGGAGAGAAAACACAGCAGAGACAGCAGTGTTTCCAAATCTTCTCATCTCCCTTTTTGGTATCACCTTAACCAGTGACAGTTACTCACAGCTACTGCCAATAACTTCAAACCCCTGAACCCAGCAGGCAAATCCAGCTCCACACAGAAAAGATGGTCTTAGCATGGAGCTCAAATATTTAAACAAGTACCATCACCCTGGCATTTTTTAAAATTTTAATTAGAAACAGGGGGGCACATGCAACTATTCTATTCCAACAGACTCTAAGCAGCCACAGGCACCAGCCTAAACTCCCAAATCCTCATTCACCTGGCAATTAGGGAAGCTGAGAGCTGCTGTGAGTGAAGTTTTACTTTTGCACATTGCTGAATACAGCAATGTTCTGCTGAATTTCCCCAGGACAGCACAAAGAGGTCGTGGCTGTCCTCCTGCTTTCACGCAGGATTTTCATTCCAAGCTGTTTGTTATACTTGAAGGTTTCTACAAACTCAGAGCAGTTATTTTGTCGGGGAAAAGCCCTGTAGCTCCTTCATTATATTTTTACATCTTGACAACTCTTTCCAGCTCTGTTCTCCTGCCAAGCTCTCTTCATTCCGGCCAATGGTATGCTCTGTTATGCTCAATGAAAAACGTGTATTGATTTTAACGTTTTTGGTTTGTGGAACATTTTTGCTTGCTCCAAGCAATGGACAGTGTTTACCAAGTCCAAGAAATATATATTAAAAGAGTATGGCACTGTCAAAGTATATTTTTTATGAGCTGTAGAGCCACAGAGCAGAAAAACATGTTTATCTGAGAGATTACTACTTGCAATGAACAGCAATCTCATTCCACAAAAGAGAGGAATAAAGACTTCATCGAGCTCTTTTCTTTTGTATCCGCTGATACATTTTGATTAGGCTACATTTTGCGAACCGTATCAGTCTGTTACCACCACATATTTGAAATGAGATTAAAACAGAATAGAAGTATCATCCATTTAGAGTTCTGAACTGATCATTTTTAATGTCTTACAAGTATTATTCCACTACTTGCCCAGGTTCAGGAATGTTAAAAGCACAATAAAATAGGTTTCTTTATTACAGTATCAAATACAAGCTCTCTCCAAGTGAAATGAGCTTTTACAGACATCCCCGGCCACAGACCTGCTCAAGTAACTGGTCGATAACAATTACGAAGGAAGGCATTTAGTGCCCGGTAAAGAGAGCACATTTAGGA